AACAAACCAGATCCCATCTTACATCTTGAAATATCTTGAAGAGAAGGTACAGTGGTCACCGGTTGAAACTGATTGCAAATCTAATGATATGATATTAGATGTCTATAAGTTGCTTGTAGCATACTACTTGCTAGGGCAAACCACCATGTTCAGGCTGGTGGTTGCATTTTATAAACACACTTACAATCTCTGCCGGCCTTTTAAGAAGAAACGCGCATTGAAAATCATAAAGACAAAGAATGACAAGTAAGCCAATCTGCGCCAACCCACTCTTCATCACTTTTCATCTGTTGTGCTCGCTGCGGGTGGTTGGCCAATAAACAAAGATGTACAAAGATGATCAAAGAGGTAAAGAGATGCAAAGAGTGCAAAGAGCAAACTGTCATGGTGCAGCGCCCCAATCATGCACCATAACTTCAAGCAACTTGGAAACATTGCTGGCCAACTACAGTAAATGAGATTTCAGGCATGTGCCTGCCTGAACCTAGGGAACATAAATCTAATTTGAGTCTGTCAGTCAGAGTCAATGCCTTCAAAGTCCAAAACAGCATTAGATCGTCTGAGGCGAGAAAATGCTCCGGTTGGCTGATGCGCTTCAGCTTCTTGAGTCACTCCATCGGATTGGATTGCTGAAGGATCAACACTTGTCGGTGTTCCATTGTGAAAGCCATGGAAATGCTGAATGGTGATGTGGACGTGGTTGTGAATGTGCTTGTGCTTCACCTTCTTGATGCGCTTCACATGTACTCTGGGCATTTTCGTGTTTGCTGTTGAAGTGAAGCCAGCATGACCGTGTCCATCATTATGGGTTGCAGCCTCATTCTGGAATGATGGCTCCACACGCTCCACAGGATCTGCATCAGGAACATCACTCTCCGACTCTGGAAGTTCCCATGATCCATCATCCGACGCAAGAGCTTCCGGCTGTGCATCTCGAGCACCCTCATCCGCCATTGGGAAGGATGGATTTTGGCAGGAACGACCAACAGAATGAAACTGAAACTGCAGCATCAATCAAGACACTTAAAGATTTGCGCAATGCTGAACCGGAAGGACAGTGCAATTTAGAAGCCGGTCTGAATCAGAATGCAATAGAAACGTTTCTACGAGACTGTGTTTATAAAATGCCCACATCAGCAAAATCTCAAATAAATCTGGTTCATGTGCTTGAAAAGCATTTCATAAACCAGCAAACCCTGCCAAGAGAAAATGATGCTCATCTTCTTGCGCCGTCTTTTGCCCATATGATCAAACTGTACTGGAACTGTCTTGCCTCAAGCAGGCAAAACAACTCAGCCTCAAAATAAACAATGCGCACTAGCAAGCAGCTTTGGCTGCCCAAGTCTAAAGAAGCATTGGCATCACGTTTAGTTGCTATTGTGCTTCTGCTTCCAACACTTGAAAACACCTGTGGCGAAGCGCTGTGGGTAAATTGCAGCTTCAGCCAGATCCTTGCCGCCATGAAATGATCCATTGGGTTCATAAACAACATATGATTTTGGCTTCTGGCCTTTGGCCAAAAGCCTCAAATGTTTTTTCTTCATTCGTTGGCGATGTTTTTCCTTCATATGCTTTGTTGCTCTTCTCTCTATCCCCACCATTGTTGGCAGGTTGGAATACAAATGGGTAGGTTTGATCAGGTCGTGGCCGAAGCTACCCAAGACCGTGTAAAAGCGCTCGAGTTTCCAACGGCAAATCACTTCAAGAAAGGAAATTTGCTTTGGCAGCCATGAAGACACTGGCTGCTCCAAGACCAAGTACAACCGTGGACGAAAGTAGGCCAACAGGAGAAGGAATGTCACCTGAGCTGGCCAAAAGCAACATGGGTCAGCTACAGACTGTTGAACAGGGCTCACGCAGGCAGAAAAGTAAGCAGTCAAGTTGCTGTGTTTGCAAGGATGCGATTTGACAACCGCACGCAGTGGTACTGAAGATTGCCCAGTAGGTTGCTTTCCTACAGCAAAGCAGAGGCCATCAAACCATTACAATCTGCTGAAATATGCAGAAATTATGTTTCTACACAATGCTCATATCCTCATCTAGACAACGAAGGCCTTCTGTGATATATGGTGTTACAGCATTTTATAAATCATCACGTAAGAAGAGAGCTGTCTTCTTAGGTTTATGAAATGACTAAAGTACAAAAAACAACAATGGTTGAAGGATATCAAAGCATGATTGAGATTGTTTGAGCATTTTATAAACAAACTCAATATTTATAAAATGATCATACCCTCACTGATACAATCAGAACACTTCAACAAAACAATTTTCTGGAGTATTTATTTATATTCTGATAATTTTGAAACATGTTCTAATCCTTTGCAAACCTTCACTGCCAATCAAAACCAAGAAACTGAACGGCCATGGGTTCCTGCCGAAATGCCAACAAATAATGAACATGGAGGTGCCAATGAAAGCAATGCTCCGTCCATGGTCCTCAGCTTTTGGGTCTATTTTTGATTAAATTATATATGTAAATTCTCTCTTGATCTCTCCAGTATTGAAAATGGTATGAAATGGTTGCACTGTACACTTGCTCTCACTCACAACTGCCTACTCCACAAACATAGCAAGCCATGTTTCTGGAGCCCAAGGTTGAGAAGTAGCATGAATCCTGCTCGAGAAGTGATGTCTTGGCATGGGTCACTTTTTACATCATATGCAGCGCTGGCATAGCCACCTTTGCTGAATGCTTGCGCAATCTTTGCGCTGGCTGAAAACACGTCCAGATTCATCAGGTTCCTCTCGCCCTCCCAACGAGAGCAGTGCTGGGATAGACGCCCCCAATCCCCCGGCGCATAGTACCATTGAGATTCTGGAATTGTGGAGGTTGCGTCCAGGGATGACCCAGCACTGACAACCTAAGCAGGTAGAAGATCTTTCCATGTTTGATTTTTGTTTATACAATGATTTTTATTGATATTTCATAAGTTACAAGGGACTTCACATTTTATAAACAAAAACCAGTGGACAAAATATATAAGAATATCTTGGGTTCGAATATGTTCGAACAGGTCAAGCCACCAAGACAGGCTTGCACACAAGCGCCAAGCATAGAGCCCATACATGTAAGACATGCATGGCTTCGGACAAGTCTGATCAAATAAGGACAGTTGTCAGGCGGTCCCAACTATTTGAGGCTGATGCCGAGATCCAAAAATGAAAACACATGAAAACAGTAAAATGTTGCTGCGGCATGTCTTTGCCATATGCGACATGTCAAACATGTATTCAAGCGGTTTCGAAAGAGAAGCGCAAAGCACTGCTTGCTGGTTTCAAAAAACGGAGTGTCCTTGTGTCTCAACGGAAGAGGATTTCTTGTCCTGCCGGAGCACGCTGTTCAAATATGTTCCCAAATTTTTGCATACTCAAACGCAATCAAATTCAATCCAGGGGCACAGACACGAAAACTCTACCAACTCAAGGAAGTTTACGCCAACACATGAAAATCAGTGATCTTGAGTGATATTTCACTTCACCCGTCTATCGGAACTTGTGCGCCTTCGGGTTCGCAATACCAATTGCTTTGGATAAGCAGCTTGTCCACTTCCACCTGCAGCCAACAAACTCCTTTTATAAAATGAAAAACCTGCCTTCTGAGTGCATCTAGACAAGGAAACAGTGTCAAACCTTGCATTTTATAAAGCCAACTATTCTCCATGTGTTAACAGTGTGTAAGGTTTTTTGAGGAATCGTAATGCAAATAGATTTATGATGATTTATGAAATGCACCCATGGTGGCACAGTCAAAACTCAAAACACATCACAGCAACAAAAAATCACTGTATAAAGACTTGTCAACAAAACATACACTTTTCTTGATCTAAACTTTGCATTTCCACACAAAAACAAAGTCAAAAAAAGTAAAAATCAATAAATATCATTAAGATTCATTGAGTATCAATCCATATCAATCCATTACATGAATTTACCAGCCAATGCAACCATGTAGCCCTTCACCGTCAATGTAGTAGAACTCATGATTGCTGCGACCACCCCCTGCTCGAGCTTGTGAACAGCGCGTACCTTGTGTCCGGAGTGCAAAATTGAGAGCTTGTAAAAAATACAAAACATTCACATTCTGCAACATTAGCGTCTTAATGTCTTAGCGTCTGTCACTCCAACTGTTCATGTAAATATATTGTAATTCATTGTTTTTCTAATTCTTCACTCCAACTGTCGTGTAACATTTCTTATTGAGCTACGCCAAATCTGTCTTTGGTTGTCGAATTCCGGAGGTAGCACATCTGCCACACAATATCCGATCTTGCACGTATTCGGGCAGCCCAAGGGAGGCTCTTTCGACGTCATGGCAGCTTCTGAACGGATTCCAATCCAGTCAAGAATGCCAGACCTGTTTCTGTATATGTTATATGTGTTCAATTATGTCAAGGCCTTCATGTGTCATGCCTTCATCTATTCAAACTGTCTTTGTTGGTCTAAAGAAGTGGCGGTACCACTTGGACATAAATGGTGCGGCCTGCCAACCCCACGGCGCGGCATTCAAGCTCAAGAAATTGAACAGTCAAGACAAGTGAAGTCTGAAGACTAATCAAAAAAGTTTTAGTGTCTGTCACCCAGGCGTTTCTCTATAAAATGCCCCAACGTGCTTCTCAGAACCAAACCTAATCCTTTTTATAGAATGCATCAATTTGGTTGGATGCCAAGCTTCCTAAACATCATCCATCTAGTGCTCCCAGGGTTTGGCATTTTATATATACCAACGGTTAATCTCTATAAAATGACAAATCTTCATTGTCATAGGAAATCTGTAAATATAGCCGAGTATATGTTTATAAAGTGAAGCTGGTTTAAGGCATTTTATAGAGGAAAAGGTTTTGCATTTTATAAGGACTCATTGAAGGGTGATATATAATGTATACATACCTATGCTAAAAGTCCAAATCTGGTGCTCGCCTTGGTGGCCAACAAGAACCCTGTCCGGGTCCGTCTGCACCGGACGTCCAATCTTTGCCCTGCAAATCTCAGCCCGGAACAGTCTGCATTCTCGTGGATGTCGGTGACGAAGGTCTCACAGCCGATCGATTGGTAGCTGCAACACCTCGCTGCAGACGACCGGCGAGCCGTAGTAGAACAGGTCGCTCGCGCGACAAACTCGACCTCTCCACCTCCATTTCTCCGCCTTTTCCGAGAGATTGCCATGCTGGTCTAAGCTTGGGACCACTGTCGCTTGGTCTCATTCCATACCTCTCCCATCCCTGTTCCTGGCTGAAGCGGAGCTCCGTCTCCCACAGGGATCAATCAAAATCATGGGTCACATAGGGCCCACCATCAGGGACCTACATGTCGGTTTTCATGCATGAAATGAGGTATTGTACGACACATCGCAGGTCCGATCTGGAACTTCCCAGATCTGGAAGTCTGAGATCGCGGGACAGGGGCCCTATCAATCATCTCGAGGTTCATCTTTGATGGTTTTCTGGGGTAGAAAGTGTATATGGAAAAATACAGCTGAACATATATATATATATCTGGACTATGTGGATTGCGTTCAACTTTCGGAGCACGACGCCTAAAATTGCCATGATTAATAAATATATATATATATATTATATATATATATACATGGTACATATATTATTCATGTAGATATATATATATATGCTTGATACAAACCACTACACAAAAAAATAGTTGATGATGTAATTTGACAAGTCTGATGAATCAACTATTCAGATCAACCAATGGAATTGCGCCCAAGCTCTGGCCACGATATGCCACCATGTTTCACTCACGTTACCAAGTTTAAACATGTGATGAACTGGCCACCAGGAACCTCTGCCCTTGCTGCCACCCTGGCTGAGCTCGTTCCGGCCTGCGCCAGTCGATGGCGCCACACCAGACTGCAGGGCGAGGCAACAGTGTTTCGCTTGCCCGTTGGCTTCACTTAAACGCCCTGAAACCAGTTGGCTTCACTCATGAGAGACTCAAATCTGATTTCTGCCTGTGACTAGAACATCTGTACCCCAAACATCCTAGCTGGTCCAGGTGTGAAAGTCACATACAGTCTCAAAGCCAGCCTTTCTCATCGCAGCCACAAACTCCTGGCGTGGCAAACAACCAAGACAAACAGCTTGAGATGTATTCCCAGGTCTCTAGCAGAAGCGAATGATTGCAGCACCAGCACCGTCATGTTTCGCAGCTTTCGATGATGCTTTCCCTGGTCGTCCCTGGAGTTTCCGTGCAGGACAAAAGAAGCCGAGCAGACCAGCTTGCTCAATTTGTCGTCAGCATCCACCTACAAAGCGGGCATTAAAGTCGGCAACCAACTTTTGAACAGGTGTGACATGTTCCAACCACACAAGCTACAGGCAAAGCTTTGATACCCAACCATAGTTATCTAGTTATCTTCCAAATCATGATAGCCTTTCATATGTGCTGCTCGTTGATGGTAATCTCTCATCTGGGTCAAGTGGGTAGCCTGTGGCCTGGAGGAATGCGCCTTTCCGAAGGTTGATGATGAAGCATGACGAACACATCTTTGAATATATGATGCAGCGTGTGGACTTATAAATATATTTTACTAATTGTTAATCTCTCACAAGTGTTCCAAGGCCTTTGTGAGATCTGTCTCCTCTGAAGAGCAAATTCACAATCAATCGCCTTCCTAGAACCCCTTTGAAAGGTGGCTTTCATCTGCTCACTTTGCCCCCCTAGTCACCAGACATCCTGGGTGGTGTGTGTTTGAAGACCACCGGCAAACCGGTGAACGCCCAGTCTTGAAGCATCACCACTCGTTGCTTCACGTCGTCCGAAGGCTTCAGGTCGTTGCAAAGTGCCTTCGATCGTCTCCAAGCTCTCCGAAGCTCTCACGTCATTCGACGCTCTGATGTGGTTTGATGGGGTCTTCTTTTCTGGATCGTAATTGGAAGTCCCCAAAGGAAACAGGTGCTGCGTGCCGAAAAAAACACATGCCACGAAAAAAAGAGTGCCACGTGCCGTCTGATGTGTCACCGATCTTTTGGTTCAGACCTCTTGATGTGTTGACACCTGGGTTTCGCCCCCCTGAGCTTCCCAACATCCGCCGAGCCCAAGAGCTGAGTCCTCGAAGCTGGGACGACAATGGGGTAGTTGGCACCGGTGGGTGGCTGGTCGTGGTCCACGGGGTGGTGGATGACTTTAGGATGTGCTTTTTGTGTTAAACATATATATATATTGTAGAAGGTCCAAGGGTAGGCAAGGATAGGACTAAGGATAGGTATAAGGTGGTGAAGGATATGAAACCAGCGGGCTGCCCAAGGGTCGGATATGAATCTATAATGAATGGTGTGTATTCTTCTCTTGGGCATCTTCCAGTGCCCTAGGAACCTCCTGGCACACTAGTGCTCTGAGAGTCTTCACCAAACCACCATTGTTTTGGTAAGGATCTTACATTTACACTACAAAACAATCAAGGGACCATTTGGTTAGATGGTCATAGATGGTCTTGGAAACTAGGGTGGGACTAGGTCTGTGGATATGTGTGGAGCGACTGGAAGGGCTGAGCCCCATGGGTCGTGGCTGGGTATTATGGAGCCCCAAACGAGTCACCCTTCGAGAAGAGTAGTTCTTCATGTGTCACTGGCCCTTCATCTCACAGGGTTTGGGTAGCCAAAAGTGGTCCTCTTTCGTAAATACCACGACGATCCCGACTTTTGGGCGAGGTCAGATATGGAGCGTCTTGGCCATCCCTGAATTTGAAAGCATTCCCCAAAGCAATGCACGGGACTGGCATATACATACCTATACATCGAGGTATTTTCATACACGAAGAGTCTGGACGGGTCAGTCAGGCCACCGAGCAGCCACGGTGGCCAACGGCCGTTGGACATGGACAAAACCCCGGCGGTGATGACTCACTCCCGAGAAATGCTTCTTTGGTTATACGACAAGTCCTGAATGTCTTGCTTTGTGCTTTTCTGGTTTAGTAGGTACGGTACAATATGTTATGGCTGATACATGATAATACATTACATATAACATAAAAGCGGGTTGATTGTTTATGGTATTTAATGATGTTTACTGTATATAGGTTATGTTGACGCCGAAGTGACTTCACCACCATGGACGCCATCCAAACCCTGTGTTTAAAAGAACAGCATATATAGACAACAAAAAAAACTGGTCCACAAGGGTCTTCGACTGTGTCGTGTGACATGTGAGCTGTGTCGGCCTGTGCTTTGACCTCTGGGGTCTCCCAACGTGTAGCTGGGCAACGAGGCCTCCGAGCGCAGCTTTTGCAACTCGCTGAGGCCTCGGTGGCTCGACCTCGACCTCTGGTGACTGCGATGACCGGGCGCTCTCGCCCAACTCACCGAGCTGAGCGAAGTGGACCAAGGACTTTGGTGGATCGAGCCAAGTCGTGGGCTCCACGCGACCTATATAATTACTAGCGATGGCTTCCAACCTAGGATTTACTGTATAGAAAAAGGATGCATCTCTTGAAACATTCCCTTGCAAGAATTCATCCGACGACAGCGCCCGGACTGTGCCCTTATGAGATGGGGCTGGTCACTGCTAGTGTGTTAGGAACATTACATGCATTAACTAACGCCACTATGAGGCTTTATAAGGTGCTGTAGATTTTTTGGTGAAAGTTCTTAACATCATCTCCAAACATTGATGTTTTTTCCCCCTGATTTCCAGATGATTGAAGTTTATGTGTTTTGTTTATCCAGAAATGTGACAAAAGCAAATCACTGAATGTTACACTTTGGTTTGTTTTCTTTTTGAACATGTCCCTTGGCTAGCCATTGAACAAACGCCTTTACTGGCCATTGAATGTGACCTTGTCTGGCCATTGAACATGTATAGCTGTGCAGGATGACTTTTTCTGTACCCGCTTGTACTACATGCATGTGGTATATTTGTATTATATTGGAGAACATGTGGTCCCAAAGGTGCAAAAAAGCATGAACCACCAAAGGCTTTCCCAAAAACTTGGAGATTGACACATTTCTTTCTGTCGAAAAAGAGATCTTTCATGATTCATGATCTTCTCTACCACTCCAAGGGTTGCTAAAGTCTCTCTTACGTCACGGTCTACATTGACTTCGATCTGGTCGCCCATCAGCTGGCTGTGCAGTGTGCAGGTTCCTGAGGGTCATGCTCAAAGAGCCATCGCAATCACTATCTGCCATTGCCTGTGGATCAACACTCACAGCGTCACTCGCATCAAGCGTGGGGTCATGACGGTCATAGGCCAAGAAAGGAACAATCCTGTGGTTCACATGGCTCACTTCCACAAATTGAACGTAACATAAGCATGTTTCTAGCACGGATGACTTCATGGGGAGATTGGGGGTTTGACCAAACAACTGAATCAACGATTGTCATTCATTCACACACCCCGTATAATGTTATGCAATATATTTTAGACTATGTCTTGGGATGTCTTGGGTCTATCCTATGACCAGTAACAGTGGATTTTTTCCGCTTTCAGCCTTATCAGGATACGTTTTGTATCCACAGACGCCTAGTCAGCTTGCGCGTACTAGGGGCCTAATGTTCGGGAGCGAATTGGCAAGAAGGATAATTGTGATGATGATGATGGTTATTAAAGGCCCTGTTCAAAAAAGTGATAACTAATTGTTTACTGACTGTTACCGGTTGTAGGACAGACCCAAACTATGTCCATTTTAATATATACAATTTCAATATCAAAAGGAAACGGGCTCGGCTAAGTTCCTTCTCCCCCATCCGGCCAGGACGATAGTTGGACTTACAAGTCAAAGTGTGCCCCTCGGTCGGACACTCATTTGTCCAATGGGTGGGCTTCTTGGAGATTCCTTGGACAGTTTTCCGCCATCAAATCCTCTGAAACGCGGCCAGCTTGTGCAACCAAACAACCTGTGCCATCGTCAAAAGGGCAACCCGCTCCTTTCTTGGGCAAGGAATCGCCCCTTTTGGAAAGTCTGGCCTACTTAAACAAAACAGCAAACTCTTGTCTAATATCCTACAATATTGCACATCCAAAATAACATCAACATAAACATGATCGGAAACACATATTTACTTCCACGATTCCAACAATCGGGAATTCAACAAGGCCAACAACTTCACTTGTGGTACATGAAGAACAGAACCCTGCATTTGGGTGGATCGGGAATTTACGTCTTACTCAGCCAACTGGACATGAAGTTAAGGCTGTAATTACTGAACATGGAGTCGTTTTCAAGAGGCATTGAACGTGGATCTCCCACCACTTGCAGTGAGACCCTGCCGATCCAGGCTCTCCGACAAAGGTTTTCTCCGCTTCTGCATCCACCATGTCCTGCCCCAAACAGCCGGATGAGCGGAAGTCGGAGACAAGCACACGAAAACAGAGTTCAGTCGTTAAGGAAGGTGTGTTTTTGTCAAAAGCTTTGTCTATAAACAAGCAAAGTAGAAGAAAAAACGATTTGTTTCTCAGAGTAGAAAAACAAACAGTCTAGATGATTTGACAAAAGCACGCTCTTGCATATATACAGTTTTCATGAATCTCCGACCAAGTACTTGAGTATAAGCAATGGCCATATACAGTACAAAATTATATGGGAACAGCAAAGCTGACAGAAGGCAAAGTCCTTGACTTGCAAGCCCGCATTCAACTCATGAATGGTGAGGCCATTTCCGTCCTGGCGGCAAAACACACATGTAGCCTCATGAAGATTCATAAAGCAATTTCAAAGTGGTCTGCCACATGTTTCCTTATGTTTCTTTTACTAGTTGCTTGGAACATGACATGTTGAGTGCTGGCATCATGACTGCGGACACGTGTATAAAATGCCAAGAATTTCCAGGCTCCCTCGAAAGCGCTCAAAACGACCTCTTGAGGTGGGGCTCAAAACCTAGCAGTGTGTCCCCCAGGCAGTTGGAACTGTTGATTCACTTCCAGGTCCAGTTATAGATCCAGTTCCAGTTCCAGATCTAGTGGCCAATTCAATTTCTCCGATGAAACTATGTGTTTGTGCGGGGAGATCCAGTTCTAGTTGCCATTTCACTTCCTACGACTAAATTCTAATTTTGGGTGGGGGGAGTTCCAGTTCCTGATGCGACACTAGGAAACCGGAGGGGTCATGGCAAAGCCGCCAGCACAACCCTCTCACTAAGGGTCCGGGTCCCGGACGACGCGAATCCGACCCGTCGGGTCTGGAGTGTGTCACTGTGTGTGTGTCCCCGTGGTGAAGGACCGTTTGGCCTGTTTCGAGCGTTTGGGCGGATCTCCATGCGGATCAACAATGGAGGCGAGGCATATCCTATGCATGGATTGACAGGTGAATCGTGTGTTGCCTTTTTTGCAGGACCATGCAAAAGCCTTGCCCCTGACAAATACGGACACTTACTCATGATTGCTCATGCAGAACAGGATCGGCTCATGCAAATGTGCGGAGTCCGAAGACCTCAAAGCTTACTACACACTTCTGACTCTGACTCATGATTGGAATGGCTGATGACTTGAATTGAAAAAGACGACATGTTGTTCAGTGTTCATCTTTGCCTTATCGTACCTTCTTCCTGTCTTCTTTTGGTCTTCACCCCTTTTTGGTGACCGACTCGCCCGACTCGACTCGCAGTTTACCGTCGCCCGACTCGCCCGCGTCAGCCGCGTGGCACCTGGTCCCATTGGAAGAGCTGCTGTGCGAAGCAGCTGGGCAGCTTGGAACTGACGCACACCGCGGGCGCTGGACGAGCGCGGCAGCGCACAACTGGTGTGTTTTGGTGATGACACGGAGGGCTTCTTAGATTAAACTGATTATCTAAATGTCTTGCAAAGGAAACATGCATCATGAGGGTGTTGTGCATCCCAAGACAATACAAAAGAGTTGTACTTAAAAGCAGCAAAGCATTAATTAATAACGTTGCAATAACTGATGTCACTCACCACACTTCACTAATTCGACATAATTCGACTAATATCCAATTGGTAGGTGAAAAATAAGCAGACCAAGCCAACCAAACAGTGTTGGGATGGGTCAAAACCTGGAGCCCCAAAACCATGTAGCTTGGCCTCCCATCTAGGTCAACCAAGGTATCCTGGTGCCATGACCCGCAGCCAAAAACATGTAAAAGAAAAGTATGAAACTCTGCAGCCCATGCAGCCCACGGCAGAATAAGGAGTTTGTTTGAATTGTCCAACGTCGCCAGAACTGCCGCACTGCCCCCATGAGATGGGCCTGCTGGACTGCAACCTGAAACGCGGCTAGCTACTGGCGAGTGATCGTTTGGTGGACACCATGCGTTGATGCATCCTTTTTCCGGGAGCATTCATGAACGCATGGAGCTTCATGTCTTGCGCTTTTGTTCTGCACATGGACGTACACCCAGACTCAAGCACGACCTGTCTGGGACTGGAATATACCCCTTCCACCACCCCAAGTGATCGTCGTGAGCTCACCGCAGCAGCGGGGGAAAAGAACACATGTCTTGAGATAAACCCATCCGCCATCCGTTCGACTGTTTAAAACATGGGAAAGACCATGAAAGACCTGGCTTTTGTAGTGTAAATTCCCGAGTTCGGGATTCCGGCCATCAAATCAATAATGGTTGGAAACCCAAGGTGGTGATACTTTCCAGGTGGAATTGGTGCCTCAAAAGGGTTTGGACCCGGGAGAACCTCAATGAGTCTGGTCCTAACTCAAACCCATATTTGGAGTAAGGATGGCACGCTTCAGGAAAAGGACATGGACATGATTGGACATGGTTACAGCCTCTGAACATGCCATTTCTCTACATGCCAAAGAGATCTATGTTTTCGATTGGCTTTTTTCAGGGCCGGCTTGGACCATTTGGGCACCTCACATTCACAGAACAAAAAGGGTTTCTGCGAGGTGTTTGGATCCAATTTCACCGCCGCCGGTCGTCTGGTCAGTGCCAGCCACACAGCGGCCCTACGCACACCGTCGTGTTGTACGCAAATTCTCTGAGGCAAGCAGCTCGGCGGCACTCAAGATGCCATCAAAATTCGAATCGGACTGCTCGTACAGGCTATTTCTGTAGACCTGGCGGCGATGTTTTCGGTGAAGCAGTCGTTTCGCGAGGATCGGTGGTTGGACCACGGTGACCGGTGTGTGTGTCACATTCGTCGATCCACCGATACCATACGCCACTGTCACTGCCCAACTAAGACGGTGATGGTATGCTCGTGAGATATCCGGAAGACGTCTGATTGAACACCTTTCCGTTTGCTCAGGGCCATTGACAGGTCGAAGTCTTTTGCACTAGTCGGCTAATGCAATAACAAGATTGTACAGTGTCAATGCACTATTGGGACCACCAGGACAGCAGGAATCTATTCTCTTACGAGCTCTTTCTCAAGTGTGTGTGTGTGTGTAGGTGTCATCGGGGGCCACAGGGCCGGCGGCCGAGCTGCGGAATTTTACATCGGAGAGCCAGCTTCAAATGCTTGCCGCCTCCTGCGCCTCTTGTGTTGAACAGGTATCTTCTGGTATCTTAAAGATCACTCACCCTGACCGATCCATCACCCTCACACCACCGCCCACGAAGGGTCCGACAGGATTGCGTCAGTGGGGGCCTCGGTGGCCTGGTCGATTTGGGCCTTCAAGCTGGTGGTCCAGGAGCCTCTACCTGACATGCAAATCAGTCAGTATAGGGCTCCCACTACCTCTATTTTGAAGGCCAGAAAAGTCCGACCCTACCTTCCGATGTAGTTGGAGCCCTAGGGATTTTGCAAAGGACATACCGTGACTTGGGACATGGACAGATTGATGTCCGTTCCGTTCTCTTCGAGGTAAGGGCGGTCGATTGTGATCTTTAGTTGTGAACAGCTTGAGCACAGCTGGGAAACATCATCATAATCTGCTGCGGCTTGAATCAGTTGAATCCACTAGAATATCCCCTTGGTACCGACACCTAGGGTTGATCCCTAGGAATTGAGGTACCAAAATCCTATGTCGAAGTGCCAGTTTAGTAATTTTGTAATTGAGTGGTGCCCAAGGCTTTTTTGGGGGGAAGGGGTTTTAAATCAGTGGCGACAACCTTCCCCAATCGGCCACCAACAACTTCTTGTGGAATCCAGTCTCCAACCCCCAGCTCCTCCCCGTCACCAGTGGTCACTACTAAATTCCTGCACATAAGTGATGAAAAGTGTGTTCTACTAGATTTCTGTGCCTCTAGGTGACTTGGTATCGTCCGTGTTTGTTTGTTCTTTTTTCAATGGTGACGTCAGCCCCCAGAATTTCAAAATGGCGCAAGCAAAGGGGATCTAGAACATAGGTCCGTATAGGATTTAACTGTTTCCTCCGATGGTTCCCAAATGTTGCTAGCTGCTTGGAAATGTGTTTCTTTCTTTTGCCTCGTCAAACATCGTTTTGGTTGAAATCGTTGGTGCCTTCATCTTTTCTGTGTCTGCTCGCCTTTCCACATCGAAAGCCAACTGAACATATGTGAACTGATGAATAAACAACAAGTACAAGGTTTTATCATGTGTCTACCTTGCATGCATGTGAACAATAGCCTGACCTGGATCACACTCGACCCTCCCAATCTCAGCTGCCCCACTACAATTGAAGAGTGGCGGCTGATTCACCGTCTCTGAGACCACCTGGCGAGGTCGTTTTTCTCTGCCTTTTGCCCTGCTTTGCTTCCCTTGGCCCCACGTAGTCACGCAGCCATGGCCAAATGTTCAGTGCAAAATGCGCCGGGGACGTATCTCAGTGCCTTGACGTCCTGGGAGACCAGCTGGGTCAATAAGCCTGGCTCCGCGACCCACCACTTCGACGAAAGTGGACTCAAATAACACCCCCTTGGGAGCTTGAACTGATTCTAATCCAGCCTCGATGGTCCTGTATCAAGATGAGCTGGGCACGTTGTCAGCAGGAAACACAAATCTTGGACACTCTGAGATAATGAGTGTCTTGCTAGACCTCCATGAATGTGCCAATCAGTCATACAAGTCATACACTGAGTTGCTCTCGCGCACAATCTCAGGGAGAGAAGTGGTGCGCGCTGGAATTGGGATCATTCCCAGGACCCCGCAAAAGAAAGTGTCTTTCTTTAAGGCGGGACCATTTTCCACCAGAAATGTAAACGTCCTTGTCTTTCTGCGACGGAAATGGATTGAACTTCGAACTTCAGGGCCGAAAGGGAGGGAAGATCGTCACTCCCAGAAGGGTCGGTCCGGAAGATCGATGTGAGGTGGAGTGTTCAGCGGTATTCGACCAGTGAAAAGGGATAGACAACTCCAACAGAGTCTACGTTCTTGATCCCAGTGGTCAAAAAAAGAAAAACACACCTGTGTTGAGCTTGGGGGCTTGCACTAAGCCAGGCAAAGCCTACATGGTCCAGGTTGTTGTAATATATGTGCGACCTACATTTGCCACCAAAACCATCTAAATCTTAGCAGTAGTTGCGTATATGGAGCGTTTGGAACATCAGGTCTTACAAATGTCTGGCGGCACACACTCCAGAGCTGACTGCCTCGATAGGCCACCACCTGAGCGTCGGCGTTCTTTTTCGTGATAGGTGGTCCTGCAAACGTGACTATATAGTTATAGGGATAGCAACATGTAGCAAAGCTCTCGTTTACGACCCACAAATGACAGGTTAGTTTTGATTGGTGTAATCCCTGGTAGCCGTACTTGCCTCCACCAAGGCTGCTAAGGAGGAAAGCTTACAAACATGCAGCACCCCTGGCTCTGCAACCCCTCACCCACAAGCCAAAATGCAAGCAGGAGCACAGGTGTTTGGTTTCGATGTTGGAAATACACCGCTTGGACCGTTATGGACGGACCCATGGGAGACTTGGTTTCGATGGGTCCAGATCCTCGCTCACGGACCGACCCGACCGGTGAGCGGCTCCAGGTGCCATGACCCACATCTTCACATCTGCCGCCCATAGCCGTGGCTCCCCACCAGAAAGACCACTCCAGCCATGGCGGTGAGGCAGAAGACTCAGAAGGGACGCTGGAGACGGTCTTTTGGGACAGGAGGGTTCGTGGCAGATTGGGAGATGATCCGAGTGAATTGGAGCGAAAGAAAGTGGCGGGTTCTTGGATCTATAAGAAAGTGGAAATAAGTGGAACATAAAACAACTCAGGGGTTGCATCAGAATGAGCACAGGCAAAGGTTACTGATGGTTACTGTCTAGTGGGTTGCTTGTTGGATCCGTGTGGTGGGTGGCATTTGGACCCTAAGTGAGTGGAAGAGGAATGGGATGTTCCTTCAGCGGTTTGGACACAAAGAAAAGGCCTTGGGGCCGATTTGACTGTGGGTCAAAACTTGGAATCCCCACAACCCTTGTAGCTTCACCTCCCAAGTAGTTTGTTCTGGCTGAAAAAAAGCACTAGTCCCAAACAACAATCGAGACCAAAGAGTATAGCTTGTGGAAGTCACCTTCGATCTTCTTGTCACATGTCACAAGGGAGAAAAAGGAGACACCGTGTCCACGACCACGGCAACACCGGACGTGGCGGGAACGGGAGCAGAAAGGCATGGGCCCTTCAGTCAAGGCTCAACAATCCTCAGCTCTTCCACCTTCTGAGTTCCTTTGCAGATGTGATTTTGCTGGGGCCTTTCTAGGGCGTACAAAAAAGCCTATGGGATGTGTTTAATTAGGAGAATTGGACATATTGGTTAACACCATAGAACAACACTTTTGAACATGGGGAACACTGGACAAAGATCAATATTTTGAACATGGGGAAAACCAACATCCCATGAACACATCAGGCCTGTCGCAGAGCACAGGGCTGCCGGGCGCCAGCCACAACAGGATCCCCACTTGACGCGTCCATTGTCCACCTGCCGCGGAGCGGCCAAGATCTCGAATCGCTCGGGTTTCGTTGACACCCAGAGACATGGAAGATAATACATAATTTATATTAGAATCCTAACATTGAGAAACTATATGTACAAAAAGAAAACAACACTTGGATTTATATGATGTTCTAACTATAAAAGCAATGGCCTCCAACCTAATAGCGATGGCCTCCAACCTAGAAGCGATGGCCTCCAAACTATTTATTAGGATTATAAGACCTTTTTCAAACTTAACGTTCCTCTGCACTGAACAGTTGAAGGATGTTGAAGGAGACCAGATTTTCCCATGTAATGACCTTCAATTCCAAACGTAGTCGACCTAGTTCAGATTCTTTTCACACCATGAGGTCCTTGATGTCAGCATTGTGCAGCGAACAGGGTTGTGCAGCGACCAGGTGAACAGGTTGTTTATATATTGTGATGTCTATAATTAGTTTAAACAGTCTTTTGAGTGACTTTTGATCACTTCTCTCTGCTGCAGCGCCATCGCCTGCTCGATTTTCCAGGAACCCCCAACCACTGGCGCATATCTCTCCACCTGCGCATTCGCTCACGCGGTCGTGCAGTTGCACCGTGCGCGGCTGACATGTCGTTTTCCTCACCGTGCACAGCGGAACCACTCGTGAGGATGTCAAAAGCATGCGAAGCACGATTGGTTGCAAATGAGTGGTTGTTCAAGCAAGAACGAGCACTTGGAGTTCTTCGGTGATTCTTCAAGCTCGCCACCCTTGGTATTTTTTTGCTTCAAACACATGCGGCACTGCCGAGAAATCGGCCAAATGACATGTTGAAATCATAAACTCTTCATCCTTCACTGGCTAATGCCCATGATCACTGCTTTTGGCTTCGTCTGATAGTTTTCTTGCCCCACCACCCCAAAAACACTTTCCCGCGGTTTCGTGTGGCAAGCTCATCCATGTATCGCCTTGTCATACTGGCCGAAGCCAGGTCCAACATATGCCCAAACCTGCTGCGGCTCTCCGCGCTCGAAACAGGCATCTCCTCAGCCAGATCGAGACATGCCTCTGACAGCTGAAACGACGTATCAATCAAAGCCTGAGATTTCAAGTTGGTACCCTGCAGGAAGAAGATCGGTATTTCATGATTTTCATGAGACAAGCTTCTATTTGTCAAGAAACCGACTCATGACCCACTGAAAGGGACCGCTGGATTCCCAAAGTCGGTAGAGAGTTCCGAAGAGGTAAAGTTAAACAATGTCGGTCAGTACACCCTGGCACCTCCTGTTGAGGGTATGATGTTTTGAGGCATGGCCAAACAACAGTTGCCTGACAGGGTTTCAAGAATTCCCGAGAAAACGCGAGGGAACCATATCATACCATGCATGGCATGCCGTCAGAAGTGACGAGGAATGCAAATTCCACTGCAAAGTCTGTATTTAAAAGACGTGTCAGGAAACCTCACTTGACAAACTCATGGAACATGGTACCAATATGGTGCGTACATCGTAGCACCTGAATTACGGCGCTGTTTCATGCGCTTGGATTCACAGGTGAACTGAGGCTGCTGCCGCATTCCCCTCCATCCAAACAACCTGTTGGGCCCTTGACAGCCGGGCCTCAGGTTTAGCCCGCACGAACGAAACGAGTTGGCCGCTGGAAGTTCGCCAGACTGACGAAAAGACGCTGAACAAAGGATTTCTTTAGGGCCACCGGTTGGCGAACAAAAAAAGTGGACACATTCTCGAACCCAAACTATTTCTAAACACTCCACAGGTCCATAATTCACTCTATGGGACAGGCACATTCACATACTTGACCATTTTCGGCACAGGACGTTCATGGCGAGAGTTGAGGTTCTCATACCGGAGGTGGGGCCACTATACTTGTTTGGTCCTGCTCCGTATCTGGATGTTTGCTCTGGATTGAGGCGGGATGGAACCCCGTAGTCAGTGCAGTATCTTTCACTGACACGCTCCAGCCACAGGCACCCAGTGCATCATTATGTCAGAATTGGTTTTTAGAGGTCAAAGTTGAGGTTTGCTAGAGCGCTTTCCGATTTGTGTGGATGTTCATGATGTTCCTCTGCCTGAGGAATAAATGAAACCAACTGAAACAGTTGTGACTTGGTCCTTCTTCACTGAGGAGCGGGCCTCCAACCGAAACAGTCCTGACAAGCGAAGCTTGGTTTGTGTCATCCTCAATCCTCATATACAGTATATATTCTCCTAGAACCTGAGTGACCTCTATTTTGGACCACCAACCACCCAAAATATGGTCTTTTCCTATCAAAACAAAGGTCAAATGGGTTCTAGGCTTATATATATATATATATAAACGTTTCCGTGCAATTAATGCGATCGGCACTGCTTTGGTATCAAAACAAAATGTCGGCTGGTTTCACCGGGCAAAATGACATGCGCAACTCACAACCATCCTTTGGAAGCTGAAACCGGGTTTTTGGAAGCTGATGGGGTCTCTCTCTCTCTCTCTGTGTTGTTGCCTGCTCCAGGCATACTGGTTGTTTTCAGATGCCATTTTGGCTGTTTCACAACGACGCAGTCATGGGGCCTTGCACCTGTGAAAGCAGGATATGATAGGATATGCTACACCCCAAAGACAAACCAACAGTAAAAAAGAAAAACTTTTTGTTTGGCCGTTTGTCTTTGTTTTGCACAGGAATGATATGATGACTTGTGGGAAAATGCCATGCTTCCCGAATGTCTGGAATACTGTTGGGCAATCCGCAGCTCAAAGCTTCCAAAGGATTGGAGCAAATTTTACCAGCTTACAAGGATTGCATTGACATGACCAAAATCATCCATCCAGGCGTCCCTGGAGGTTTGAAAACCAGGACAACCCGTAGTTCGAAGGCATGTGTAGAAAACCCACAATTCCCCTGCAAAAAAAAACGCGGAAAGGCGTAGAAAAGTATGGTTTTGAAACTTGGTGATTTGCACTGTTTGTCCGCTTCAAATGCATCCTATTCACATCGTTGCATTTGTTCTTTCCAACATCTGGTTTTGTCAGTTCCTTAATACTTGACAGTATGTACTACTGACTAGTAACTTAGGACTTGTCGAACACATATTGTGGCAATTCCCAAGTCCTATGTCATCAGGCGTGAACTCACATGGTCATTTCCTCTTAAGTCCTATGTCATCAGGCCAAAACCATCAAACTCACTGATTATATGAGGCATTCAGGGAAAATGCTGGAGACAACATTTTGCACTTCAGCACTGATGACCAAGGTGCCAAGGAGTTGCAAAAAACAAAGGCGCATCCTATGTCACAAGAGTGTCGGGCAGTGGTATCCACCTGCTTTGCTTCATTGTTAGATTGGGGAGGCGTCCAAAAGCCCTATGACACCAGGTTTCCCCACCCAAACATCCTGTATTGCTCGATGTGTGAGCGCAAACGACCTAGCCCTGTGGGTAGCCCTGTGGGATCCTGTGGGTATGTCACTTGAACCACATTTGCCTAAGTCACTGGACGGTAGTAGTAAACTGTTTGAAGTGCAAGAAACAGCGCAAAAAGATGCAAAAAGGATTTTCGTGCGGCGGTATGGGATTGTACAAAGCACGGGGTGTACATTGATAACTGGCACCATATACAAGTTGGGTGTGTGAACTGCACCTAGGTTCAAGCCCACTGAGCTATTTGATGTATGTTCCCCAAATTCTGAGAATTGCTGCATTGTTTGGCAGTGGGCTGGAAAGGAGGTCGATGTGGTATGTGACATGCCTGAACACCAAAGAGAAGCCACATCTTTTTGCTGCATGACTCCATGACCCCAAAAACATGGTTGCAACATGTTGCAAGTTGCAACATAGGACCTTTCGTTTTCATGGTTGTCAAGTTGTCATGTTTCAAAAAATGCAAATGAAAGCACATCAAAGCACAAATACCTTCCAAACGAAAGCAAACACCCACAAACAAACGAGCGCAAATTCTTGGGGGGACTTGTGGTCTGTTCCACACGTTTTTGAAGCAGTGTTGTGGGTCTACAGCTCCTTTGTTGATGCTGTCCGTGCTGTGCAGGGGGGAGGAGTAGACAGAGGCAGTTCAATTGATACAAAATATGTTCAGCTTGCCAAAGCGCGCAGTTTCTTGCAATGCGGCATCATGGATCAGCTTTGGAAGAAGTCAAAGATGAAGTCGTCGTCCAGATTTTAAACAAGGTTGGATCTCTTTAGTCCAACCCATTCCAATGGATTTCCAGATTTCAAGGTCCAGGTATGTCTGTGTCTTCTGACAGTGCTTCGCTCGACCAGCAAGTTGGCCCCTCCGCGTTGACCGCCCCGCTTCGCTCGTCCAACCGTTCGAGGACACCGAGTTCGGCGCCTCGTTTCCATCGGACGAGGCCACTGAGGTGTACCTCTGGTTCAATCGGACGAGGCCACCGAGTGAGGGAAATTGGGCCCTGGGCAGCTTGAGCCTGTCAATTGTGCAGTTGAATGGAAGTATATTATATGGTCAGTTGGACCAAATGAGCAAGGGAACAAGCTGGAAGAGATGTGCTTCCTGGATGTTCCTGGCGCTTTGGCTTGCGAACAATGAATCGAACATGCTTCAAACATAGTCCAGTGGTGCCAACTTCTTTCCAACCCTGCTTAGTTGACCGTCCAAAGCCGTGGAACCACGCCTGTTGGAGCGGGCGTCCGTTGTAGGGTCTTAAGCCGAAAGGATCGCAGGAACTGATGCCATGACATGACCTCACGTTCGCTCCCTCAGTCGCCTCAGCTGATCAGTCGCCCTCACGTTGTTCTTCAAGCTCTTGTGGATTTGATGTGGGGAAGCACCACACTTACCATCCACTAAACTCTGAACTCTGCCAAAACGAGTTCTGGCTTGACCTATGAATATGCTAATCAAACTGATCCCAAACCCCGGCGACACCCTTTGTGGTCCCCGTTCTGTTCCGGTCCCTTTCCCCGACATCTGCCCATTTTCTTCACAGGTCTGGCTGCTTCGCGGTGACCTCTGGGAACGAACAGGGAACGATGGCTTCGTCCATCGACTCGTTGAGCGATGGATGGACGACGACACCGACACCGGAGATGGATCTTCTAGTGCAAGTTTTTTCTAAAAACCCTGAAAAAACACGACTTCTGGGGTCCGACTCCGGCCCTTTTTTCGACCTGTTGGGAGTTTAGATGCTTTTAGTAGGGGGTGTCGGTGTCCCCAATCCCCAAACACGCTTGGGCATCCACTGACGAAACATATTCTTCAGTTTGCTTCTTGATCCTTTGAGTCCCTCCATGGTTGGTCTACTGATTGGCCCGTACATGGTGTATTTTCCGAACCTACCAGGGGGTCGTTGCCTCCCTATTTTGACACACACAGATATATACTGTAATATATATATATGATATAATATTATCATACATACACGATCCTTCTTTCATATTCTGATTCTTGTCATCGGCGTTGTCATCACCCCGGATGGCAGCTAGGAGAAATGCGCTCTTCCGTGCCCCCCAAGCCCCCACGCACCTCCATGAACTCCCAGAAAGCGTCCATGGTGCGGGAAGAGCGTCGGCCTTGACGGGAGCACTGGTCTCCTATGGCCTTTGATGGACCTGGTATGGAATGTGTGTGGGGGGTTGTGTGTACCCCAAGGTACTGACCCCTTTTCAACCCCATGCCATGTACAGGAAAGCCAGGCCAGTCCCTTCTGTGTCGAGAAAAAAGAGCGAACGAGATCAGAGCTGGCTCAGAGCTGGGTGGAGATCCAGACTGCCCAAGAGATGGGGATGGGATAGGTCCAAATCCAGAGCCCGTTTCATCGTAGGTTGACCTCCTGTAGGTCTGCTATTCTGTTCATGTTCCGCGGGAAACAAAAAAAACGTGTCCCACCCATGGGATTGACCCATCCCCGGTCTCCTTAGGGTCAGAGAACTGTCGGTAACGTCGCGAGGCGCCAAAGGGCCTTGAACATGACCTGCCTTTCATGAGGTTGGCATGACGCATCGGGGCTCAGAATGTGATGGTTCATGACGTCCACCGTTTTAATCAATGATCAAACATGAAACTTCAGACCATGAAACTGAGCCTCATTGGCCCTGCGATGCGTTGGGATTTTGACAGAGGAACCAAGACTAAGATGATGATTCAAAAGCCTCGTGAAGGGCCAATATTTTGGAGCACCTGAGGGCCTTGGCGGAGCACCCCTCTTCCAAGTCCTTCTCTCTGAAAGATAAAAGAAACACGTGTCAATGAAATACATCAAATGCCCGTTCACTTTTGAAGGGAAACAACATGTCGAAGCATAGACATTGGGAAATGTGAATTGCAAATGGCCCTATGATGATTCAAGAAGCCCCGCCCTCTGTGACTCCGCACTACTTACCTCTATACGATGACCTACAACCACCGCACCAACCGAAGTGCTTTGTGCTCTCAAAAGAGTGGGAAACTGGATAATAATAGCAGGCAGATGCTGGCAGACCATTGACCACTCCACATAATGTTCAATCCCAAATAATCAAGTGAGAGGGAAATACTGCAACTTCCAACTCTTCAACAGCTTCATCACTCATCTTCCAGGCTTCCGAGCATCTTTCAGCGCAGGCATACCGTAGGGCGAGGGCATGGACTGGCATACCCGACTCCTCGTCAGAAATGGCAAGACTTAGGGGTGTTGTTGTGTGCAAGTTAATTTGGGTGACACCCTGGCTCAATGCGTGTACATGATAATGACCCATCTTCACACCTGAGGTTGATAAGTTCAGCTCCCCAGTCCCTAGTAACAAAGGGCATCGCTACTGGGAGCAAGAAGCTACTAGTAGCGGCATTACTACTAGAAACAAACAGCTACTAGGGTTATATACACAGCTTTGGGAGGCGTTTGCTGCTGACAGTCCACAACTCGTGGTACCCAACCAATGGGTGTGGGTCTCCCTATTTTGAGCTACACGGAAGTAGGGATGGGGGGGGGAGCGGGCTACAAAATCAAGAAGTAGTGCCGCAGTGCCCATTTTACTAGTAGCGATGCAGCCCCGATCGGCCCTGGCTGGGTAGACTGGTGTATTTTCACCTTCCAGGGGTCGAAGATGGTCGAAGTGGGAGGTCTTGCTGTTGAGCTACACACCTTAATACCTTCCTGGACCCTGGTTGACCTGGTTCATACGGGGCGCTCTTTTCACCGAGCTCAGCCTTCGACGTTTGAGTCGACAGACTGAGATCATTAGAGCTGAAAGGAACTCGTGGTCTGATTGGCTGGCACAATTGCGCCTGTTTCTGTGGTTTCTTTTCCTAGCCAGGATGCATGCTGGAGATACTGGAGCACCCGGTGTTGTGCACCTCCATGCTTGCACGAGCCAATCTTGGTGAGAAATTGCCTTGCTGTCAAAACCATGTGCAGGCTTCGACAAACTTGCTGACGAAGTTCTTCTGAAAGTGACCAACTCGGTCGGCTGAGCATCAGGGGCTAGCTATCGCTCAAACAATCATAGAAGTGGATGGCGTGGCTCCTTGGATGAGCATTAGATCCTCTACAAACCGGTGGTGTTATCCGCTTACATGTAGCTCTCGCTCAATGTCGGCTGCCGCTTTCGAGCATTTTTGAGCTGTGGCTTGCTTCGATGTTCTCAGACTTCCAACATCTTCCAACAGCACAATGCATAAAAAAAAAGACACAACATTCACCATAGTGCTCGAGTCGTACCTTCGTTTCCAAGGCAGGACTGGGGGTGCAAGGCTCCACTCGAGGTAACCTCCTGGAGCATCAACTGGAGCCCGACAAGGCCGCCTAGGCCTAGAGGGTCAGGATCTGCAATCTTCAATAAACATCTTCCAAAGGTCCTTCCTTCCAGCACAAAACCACCATCCTCGTCCAACCCCACCATTCGTTTAGCGTGGGAATGCGTGGGATCTGTTTTTAACGACGTGCAGGTTACAGTATGTCCCTTGGATCTTTTGGAAAGAATAGAGAGGTCGGTGCCAAATAGGTAGCCTCGGGCTCCAAGCATACCTCCTGAGAAGGTATTTGGAGCCTCCCACCCGAGTCCCACATTGAAACGGTGCAACTGGAGCCCATGGAAGGGGCCTCTGTTAATCAACCGTTCGGCAGCGGTAGAAATTTGGGCCAAACCGACCTCGAAATCGACGTCGAAATTGCCTCCAAGCGGTGCATGGTCTCACGATCCACGACTTGCCTCGGCGAGAACCAACACGACGGTTTACCGTGGGAACTGTGGGGTTCACCACCACGTGTTTTCCTGGGGAAGCCAATCCCAAAAAGCATATGACCACGCATCTGATGACGCATGTTCTGAACTTGAAACCGGTCTTTTGGAGGTTTGTGGGCAATGTGTCGTCGATGTCGGTGGGCACATGGTCACAATGTCTAACAAGTTCAAGGCACATTCCTGTTCCTCAAAAGGACTTGGGAGATTTGGTGATTTGCCTGGGATTGGATGAGAATACAGAATACAGAATACCCACCAAGGTCCGCAACTCTGCAAACACGGGGTGAGCTCCACTTCCATCTCTTCCATGCGAGTCTAAGTGTATCAAAAGCATCTACTTCAAAAACACCACCTGGTAGGGAGCCCACTGTTGACCATCCACTGTTGACTCGTGGCATCTCCTCCTCCCAACCTGTAAAATTGGTTCTGAGTCTGTCAACCTTCCAAAGATATGACCATTCATTTCCCTGTCAAAGGGGTTGTGAAATGGCTTCTATAGGCTGTGGTCCTTTCAGTTTCGGGATTGCCCCAAACACAACGGAAACCGCCTAGGCTGGAATTTGAATATCCAGTTGCAGGGCTCCAGTCATACCTCCGAAACGAAGGTCTGACTGGACCCTCCTGGCACCTACCTCAGTCATTCCACCTTCGAAACGAAGGTACGACTGGAGCCCCTTTGCGGGTAGATGACTCCTAAATGATGGATTCCCAACGAGTTCTTTGGAGAGCCTTCGAACTCCACCGATCGCCATCGCCATCTCCGTCAAAACACCAGCCGCTCCACGCTTCCACGAACAAACACTCTGAATTGAAATGATCCTCTCTCGCCTACAAAAGCTCTGTAGTGTTTTCCATATTTGGCTATAGTCAAAACCAGGATACCTTGGTTGACCTGGTCGCTCGCGGCATCGTGGACTGGTCGGGCTCCATGTTTTGACCCACAGTCATTTTTGACTTTTTCACAACGGGTTTCAGCCGTGATGCTTCATGAGTTCATCCTGGCTGGAGATGTTGCAAGCACCTCCCGACCTGGAAACCGAAACTTGGCTCCGAAACCGGACAATCCGCTCCACATGCGCCGCAGAGAGATCGGGAATGGACGAGAAAGACCGATCAAATGGATGATGAACGTGTCAAAGACACGTGGTCTTCAGTTCCCTTTTTCCAGTCTGAGTGAGTTGCATTTGCGGCCACTACAGCGGATCTCAGTTCGACAAAACCGGCTTGAAGGCTTTTGAAGAGATTCACACGTCAACATACGTGCGCACGCACACACACACACCAGAATGTCATCCATGATTGTGCCTGTCATTTTCTTGATCAGGAGCCCGTTGCCCTTCGACTCCTACCTGTCCTACTTGGTCCCACTCCATGACGGTTGACCTCCAGGGGTTCTGCAGTTTCCGGGATCCGCACATTGCTTCCACTTCAGAACTCTTGGCTCACTTGTCGAAGACGTGATATTTATGTTTGATCCATTGAACATCATTGAACGGTTCACCTCCCCATCATTGCACGATAACCTGCCCATATCTTTGGCGCGGTCACCTCGTCCTGTCCGCGATGAAACTTTGAGCTGAGAGGCTTGAAGAAGTCCAGGACATTCGACGCAGGGATCTGCGAGTTGAGGATGTTGCTGCACTTCAGCTCGATATCTGGGCCGTCGGCACGACGTCTCGCTGACGGCACGGACGGCTTGGCACCACGCGACGATGGGACTGGTGGAAAGAACGGTGATGAAGGTGGGACTTCGATTTTGTACTGAAGGTCACTTGGTCCGATTGTCCGTCGGTAGGCAGGGTGTGATACATCATCCGGTTCCGGGCCTCACCGAAGCCACACAAATTTCACGTTGGGGCAGTGAACACCTTTCACGGCGACTACTCCATGGCTTCTCACTGAACCTTCTGTTGGACCCTCAGAAGTCTCAATTGTGGCCACCTGTAGGGGAGGAAAGTTGAAACGGATGTCGATACGCCCAGCAAGTTGCCCAGTCTTCCCAAGGCTTTCCAAATCTGACTTGATGATACTTGATGGTCAAAAACCTGGGACCTTGTCCTCGTGGAGGTGACTTGGCAAGAAATGACTTTCACCCACAAACCCAAACCATGCAGATCCTGTCGTTGGTTGATCATTGGCTGTTGCTGATTTCTCGGACTCTCCCAGTACTTGGACTCTCGTCTGGTGGCCCTGCCGGGAGGGCTCCTCTGGGGCCTCGAGCTGGAAGGATTCACTTCATCTTGGCAGCCCAGTTCCTCGTGCCCGCTGGGGCAACTGCACCTTCAGCCAACAATAGAAACAAAGAAAATCAAAGAAATACTATACAGAAGACAGCAAAGAAACCAATAGAAATACTATCTATAATAATATAGAAGAAACAAATAAATACTGTAGAATCCCCGTGGCTTCATGGGTCTTTGGATATCTTGAGCTGAAATGTGCTGAAATCATGGTTTCGTTCAGTGAACACCCCCGGCTTGATCTGAGGACATCTGAGGATTTCGTGGTCAATGGTCATCCGAACTCGGGGGTCATGATGGGCGCATCCATGTCATCCATTGATTCTTCCAGCTGAGTGCAGCTCCCAAACTGCTGAACCCGAGATGAAGGGCCACATGTCGGAAGCGACTCATTCCAGTGGGATCTGACGGGATCTGGTGGACCCTGGTGACGAAACTTCGCCAAGCCACTCGTCGGAACCAAACTTCTCGTTGCAGCCGTGGATCTTTCCTAACACGATGGGACTGGCAGATTCTGCCACCCCTTTGGAATAGATGCCATCCCCCATCGACCCCATTTCAATCAACCACCCCTGGCCCCTGGCCCTGCTCGCAGAAGTTGTGCAGTGCCAGTCCCCATCGATGTAAGTCGATGATCGTTCGTGACGGCTTGGAAGCGCATCGCCGAGTGCTGTCTTGGAGGTTCAAACTGCTGTGAGGTGCAAACTTTACAGATGCGACACATGGTGACGAAGGGGGGGGAGCCAAAACCCTGATAAAAGGGCCCCAATAAGGCATCTTTCGGGTGTTGAACCAATGAAAGGGTCTGTTCATCAGTTTATTGTTTTTTAATATATATAAGAGTGTGTCTGTTTCCAGGGGTAAAGCTTTAAGAACTATACCACGACTTGGAACTCCAACAATACATATTTAACAATCTCATATCATATGATATTGAATACAATAGCTATACCCCAACAGGCCTGTGATCACCGCGCGCCGCACGGGCCGTTCCGCCTCCTTGAAAGTTGGCGAAGCGCATGGGATCCTGTGGAATCCGTCGTCCCGTTGGACGGAGCGGGTGAGCGAGAATGTGTCGGGAATCACTCCAAATGGGCGAGGTGTTCTGATGGTGGAGAGCCAGTTTGGAGACTTAGGATATCTTAGGATTGTATTTGAGCAGTTTAACGTCAGTTGCACAGGATCTTGTATATTGGGCCAATATTGGGTCATTGCAGCATTGCGATCGATAGAGAGCTTGAAAAGCACAGTTCCAAGCATCACGAGCAAAACATACGCATGCAGTCGAAACCTGAGACTCAAAATCACTCAGACTCGTTCTTGTCAAGAAAGCACTTCTGCTTGTCATCAATCTCACAAAGGAAAGCACGACGCCGCACCGAGCAATTGACTCAGAAACTCGGCTCCTTCCTTCGGCCCGTTTGAAATCCTCAAGCAAACTCTACCAGGGGATACCAGGCGTCTCGTCAACCAAGCGTTTTTAGCCGTATAGGTCGGTCAGGCCATCCATCCGTCGTGCCTTGAAGCGTTTGAGGAAGAGCGCTGGGAGCCCCTCCGTGCTGCTACTTTGAGCCTCCTCGCACAACGTCCGGTCCTGGAGCGTAGGTCGGGTCCCCGGATCCCATGAAAGGTAGGAAGGGCCCAAAGGAGGATGAACAACAGGGCAACAAAAACGATGTCTAAATCCTACGAACACCGATATTTGTCAGGGAAGACGTCTTCCTTCACCAGTGCTACGTTTCACCCTCGTGAGTTTCTTTCACCCAAAAGCCTCGGAAAACGGCTCCTCTCCGACCTTGTCAAGGGAATCTCGGAGCCGACTGCAGGCGGCCTCCAACCTGCCGGTGGAACGAGCCGGTGGAACCATCCCAATTCGGGCGTGGAAATGCGGGGCGGCCTCGATGGATTCACACAGCTACACTCCATGGATTCACACAGCTGGATGTGGAAAACCACCGGTTTGGTAGAGGAACACGGTTATCCCAAAGGGCCAGTTTCTACTTTTGATTACTTCACGGAGTGTAAGTCTTCAAAACTTTCAGGCCGTTTTAGGCGGTTCTCTTCAGAAGACACAGCTTCCGAAGCATCTGATTCACCATCATAACTTGTAACTATATTATATATACATCTCTGGACATCTCTGGAAAGTGTCATCAGATTGTTTTGCGGCTTCCGAGCTGCTCCAAATGGAGAACATCCGCAACCGCACCTTGTTCAATAAAACCCCATGACAAATGAACCAACCTGACGCACCCAAACGGTTTCTCTTCCAGGATCCTCCTGTCTGGGTGTCCTGTCTGGGGGTCTGAGTAGTCTATGGATGTGACCCGTTGGATGATCCAGGTCCGTGATGTTTCCACTAAGGTCTTGGATGTTTCCATCAGGGTCATGACAGTCATTCCCCCAGGTTTTCCTTCTTCCGAGGAGCGCGTCATGCCCAGCTTTCCAGTTCCCATCCAGCTCTTCTTTCAACCTGGCATCTACGGCCAAACGGTGCTGGAAGGTGCTTTCAACGGTGCATCCAAACGATCCAAAGACCGAGAAACCATTGAAACCGCAGGAAACCACCCCAAATGCACCGTTCGGACGTTGACCGGATGCAAGAACCGACCAATGACGGCAGTGTTCGACTGACTTTTGCATGCTTTCACCTGGGTGTCTGGAACCATGCTGGCGGCTTGAATCCAATCCATGCAAGGCCGACGCATGAACTTTGCCATAGGTCCGGTCCTTAGAAGAAAGAAAGTAAGTGTCGGGGAAAAAAATTGATCCAACAGGTACCAAGCATCGACTTCACCATGAAATACAAAGGTGAGTCCACGGTGTTCACATGAGTTCGCCACCCAAAGCTATACCAGCACCCTCCAACTTATGATGGCTCTTGGAGGCTTATATAAATGGTGTCGTTCGTGGTGACCTGTGAAAGTCGGGTGCTGGTAGGTGTTCCCAGATTGTTTGCACCATGGGCCATGGTGTTCCTTTTGGTATACCAATGCGTTCAGCTGCTTCTTGATATTCGTTCAGCCTTCTGTGCTTTTTGGAATCGGAAGACCGTTTTCTCAAAGCTGCAATGTATACCAGCATTCCAAATGCCTACAATAGTTTAACCTAAACAGGTGCACCTTCGTGGAGTAGTAGGTTGAGTTTAAAACCCCATCCGGTTCTCTGCTCAGGAGCCATGACTTCTCGACCACGCGCCCACTCCTGGAGTTCGGGAATCGGATCACAAATGGAACAACCGCTGTGGAAAGGAAAAGATAGGTGGACACGTAGATAGAACCAATAGAGGTATAACCGCACCAACAGTAAATTGATATAATATATATATATATTATATAGTAACTCATAAAAAAAAGAAAACAATGGACACATATTGTACCGAACACATTGTTTTGCTGGTAACGAAGCAGGTCTCCCCGGTTTTGGCGTGGATGTGTGGTAGAGTTGATTTGCCGCCCTTGATGTGTGGGTTGGCTCATCCTCCCACTGTTTGCATGTTTCATATTGAAACAACCATGGACTGACAAGCGCGCAACCATTCTGCCACTCCGTTTAAGCTTTGAACTGCACTCCGTCCATGAAGATCCGTGGCATGTGCAAAAACGTCAACCCTTCTTTTTCATGAGCCCCGTTCTACGGCATTTGAATCGTTCAATGTCTACTATCTACAGTAACTTGTCTCAAAAGGGGTCTTACCATGGATACCCCCCTACATCCCCCTACCCTCTCAAGATTCTCAAGGGGTGAGCAACAAACACAACCATTCTCACAGGGTCTCGGTATGACCAGGTGAACCTGGCCGCCACATCCATCGCTGGGCTGCCCGACTGCATTCATTGACTCGATCGCCTTCTTCAGCTCATCCTAGGATACAATACCTCCATATACCTCCAACCTAATAGAAATGGCCTCCAACCCAATAGGACGTTCTGTTTTGGTGGCAGACCAGTCCCAAACAATTTCATGACACTGGACCTACCTACACTACATGGGGGTGCTTTCAAGGTCCATACAACAAATAATTCAGATTCATAATGTAATGTTTCATATGTAATCAATAGGATTGGTTCGGTGTGTGGTGCTCTCAAACCAAACATGGTTCTTGCATCCACGTAGGCTACCTCCCCCTAGCCTTCCTGCCCGCGCTCCTTGAAAGAGGTTCAAACGGTCCCAGTGAAACAGAAAAACACTTGTGGGGGCAGAGACGGTCTTGGAGCCTCGTTCACCAATCCACAAAGCCAGTGGCGTTAGCAGTTGGGCAACAAAAACAGAACCTGAGAAACGGACAAGTAAGACATACTATCCTCTTCATGAAAGCATGAAACAGTCCGGTGTTGTCTTCCCAAACAATACTATACTGTATATTGGCTCTTTGTTTCAGAGCCAATCCAAGAAGGTGACAATATGTCCAAGTTCTGCCCTGGCCCAGCGGAAGTCTTTGAAGATTGAACGGCAGGGACGACGTAGCGCGACTTGGGGTCCATGCCACGACCTGATGCTTGGGCGGCAGGGGCTAGAGACGAAATGCAACTATAGGTGCACGAGCCGGCTCGTGAGCCAAGTCTGCGAAGAGCCAAGTCGTTGACACCCGAAACTTCGGACCTCCTTTCGGCCAGCCCATCATTGCCAAGGCTCCACATGCGATTTCAAGGCAGGAAGCTCCTCAAAGGAAGTACCTTCAACCGGGGCAAAACAAATGTACCCTCTGGTCATGCAGCGGCATGAACAAACTGCAGGCATATCAGAGTTGAGAAACCTCTAAGCTCCAAATTTGATCGAGAGATATTGAGAGCTGCTTGCCAATTAGGGATTCCGTCTCATTTAGAAAGAGGGGCTCGGGCGATGTAAAGTCTAGGCTGCTAGCCAGAAACAACAAGTTGATGGAAAACCCATGCATGCCATGCCCTTCCTCCCAGAAGTTAACATCCTTCCAACCCATCCACAGGATGTTGCAGGACTACACCTCCATTCGGATTGAACAACTCTTCATATGGGGGCGGGGTATTCATCAAGAATCTACATCAGTTGCAAAGAATGTGCTTCATGTCGACGGACGCCCGTGCCACGCCGGTCGGGTGGTCCCCACTGGACGCTGTGGTCAATCTGAGCAGGTCCGTCTTTGGGGCCATGGCGCTCAAGGTTGAAACAGGTGTTCGTCAGATGGATGATTCATGGGTTCGTACCATGTCGTCACACAAAACGTCTTTGGCACGTTTATACAAAGCCGCTGATCTAGGGCTTAGCATCCAGGTCGTTGGGGCTCATCATGTGTTGCCGATCGTTGTGCATTGCTCTTGTCTTCTTTTGTGGGATGCAAACATACGATCATGTTGGGTGATGTTGGGTGGAGAGGGATGAACAAAGGATTTTGATGGATTCTGAAGTAAAGAATCTCGTTGAAATGTTTTCAGGCAGTTCACATGTAGCTGAATGACGAGCAGCCGGCCAGTACCTCACATCACCGAGGCTAAATGGCCAGCCAGGAATTCGATGCTTCCAGTACATAGACCTTCCAGAATTCCAAATGGGGCAAGCGTTTTGAGCCGAATTCAGTGGATTTCGGACACCTTAGAGTCCTTCAAGCACCGAACTAAGGGTGCTCTTTGGACTCATGGCACCCGACCTTTCAAAATGTGTGGTGTCTTGGCTCGACTTCAGCTGGACAGCACCGATCCACCAAACTCTGTCCCTTAATGTCTGTCGGGTGATTGCAGGTCTGCAAAGCTCTTCTCGCAGGTGAAACACTGCAGCTCTTCTGCGTGAACTCAGAACTGCATGAACTTTGAGGGACTTTCGCAGCCCTTAGTGCGGCAACGTGCGACAGACGTTGAAAGAACAGTTCCAGAGTTTTGAAAGTATGCATGCATACAAATACAACATTCCGACTCAACAGTCCCTGGCTGCTTGTCGCTGGCCAGCGACCGAGGAAAAACAGAAAGCATAGGTCCGATGTTCCGTTTGGGTCGAGAAAGATGGAGGCTTTCACCATAAAGAAAGAGACTTTGCTTGCAGGAAAGTCCAGGTTCTTCATACAAAACGCGTGCCCTTGTGCAAACAGACAACTACCCAGCAGTGGTCTAGAAAAAGAGGCGGCCAGAAGTCCAACGCTTGACCACCCAAGTGGTTTCAGGACCCAAATCCCGCTACAAACGCCGCTGGGTTGTGCTGGTAGCCTAGAGTGCATGCTGAATTACTCCGCTTTGCAACTCTAAGTCTCTCAACACTTGGCTGCCCTGATGTATTGGCTGCCCTCGGAACCGCCTCCAATCCCCGATCCAAACGCCCATGTTCCTGGGCATTCCTGGGCCTTCCCAGCCACGTGCATTCGCCGAAGCAGCTGCAAGCGACTGAAGAACATGGGACCAAAGGACCTGGAAGGGTCGTCTTCGTCTTCCAATCACTGGGACAGTTTTTTGATGCTTGGATGGATCAACAATCCTGGTTTGTTCACATACATACCAACCCTTTTTGTAGGTTGGATGGTGGCTTTATTAAAGACTTGTCTTTGTAGCTTAAAAGTAATGTTACTTAATCACTTCTATCCAACAAGGGAGTGGACCATGGCCCCTTGGAATCCATGTTTGTTGGAGTCGGGGCAATTCTTTGTCTGACTGTTGCAGTGAATAGTATCGACCTAAACATCAGGCGAACAATCTGGTTTTCATTGGTCAAATGCCATGCCCCGGTAGAACAATCGATGCTTTGTTAGCCAATATCCCCTTGAAACAAACAGTCGCCCCCCACGTCTCAGCTACTCCTGTAAAGCTTTGTAAAGCGCATAGGCCATGAGTTGATGGCTTCCTGCAACTTTCTCGACCAAGATACGTCTTGTCCGGCATGATCCAGGCACCTGAGGGGCGCGGATACTGGGCTGGGCTGCCAAGGTGATGTTCCTCTGACTCCAAAGCTACTGGCTGGATAGTAGGCCATTTTCAGCTAGTTGGCTAGGGCAAGAGCTCAGTTTGCGGATTCCAAACAGCTCGCTTGGCAGCAAAAACCACAGGCTGGGCCAGTGGGTCTCCCCGATCCCAAAATAGCTATGACTGTAGATTCCTTCCAAATAGCAATATTCTTAAAGCTTCCCCAACTCGCGATCGATCCGAACGTTCGCTCCTCAATGGTCCTTCCACGTACAAGTATCGGAGGATTTCTATGTCTATGTAAGAACAGACCCAAATGACAAAACGTGCGACCACCACACAGCACACCGGTGTAAGACGCGGTATGTACTCAACGGTGAATTATGAATTGGATGGCACATTCAAGCGTTCAAGACTCAAGACGAAGGAAGACGCTGGCGAATACTTTTTTCACACGTTGGTAATGTTTTATTACTGTTTTGTGAAAACAAAATCGGTGAATAAGGCGGATCGGATCACATGCTAGGAACCAAATGAATAGTTTCACCAAATCTAGGAACCAAATGAATAGTGCGTGAGCTATCCTGCGTCCATGTGTAGTAGCTTCCTATTGCTAGTAGTGAACTCGTCCCCTTCTTCATTAAGCAAGGAGGCAGGGCCACTGGCTAATAAAGGACATCGGTCGAACCGTCTGAGCTTGGAACCCCAATCTGTCGACTCACAACAGAGTCCGGGCACCAAACCTTGGAGACCGAGACCGGTGTCGAACCGGACAATGGATGGGGTGTCAGGTGGACTATTGAAAGCTCCAAAAGACCATAAAAGACCCATTGGTTGGGAGGTCCCCCCCAAAAAAATACGCACGAACCGGATGGTGCAAGGAGGATGCATGTCGATGTGAAAACTTCCAAGAGTGGAGTTCTCATGGGTGTGTATTTGAATAGGGAGACCCCCCAAGCAATTGGCTTTGGTCTATTTTCCTTCTTCCCCGGGGTCCGTGGAAGGTCTCCCTAACACACGCCCATATATAATTGATTACAATTGCTTTGGTTGGACCACCACTTCTTTGGAGCGCCGGCAGATCAGTGCGAGCGCCCTTCAAGAGTTTTGGTCTTAGCTGGATTTCGACGCGGATGCTTATTGCTTTGACCATCTATATTTGCTACGGTTTTACCGTGAAAAGGATCTTGTACACATGGATTTGCGTCACATCACCGTGACATGCGGAACCACCATGCCGCATCTCACGGCCATTGGAGACGATGTTTCTTCAACGTCCTTGCTACACCCAAGTCGACTGATGGTCTTTTGGGGAGGATGCAACCCAGGGCAGCGGCCAGACCGTCAACATGTGCCCGCACCGTCAACATGTGAAAACACTCGTCTGAGGGACCTGTATGGGACATGATGGGACTGTGGTCGTTTCCAAGCTCTTTTGTTGAAACGAGCTGGTTGGTGAGTACCAACATATTCTTGGATTCTTGAACCTTAGCTACAAGCAAACATACGGAAAGCCAATGGGAACATGGCTTCACTAAAACCAAGTGTAGGTGAGGGATAAAGACTACCAAATTCACCCATCAATTGCCCATGAGGGCCGCTTCCCAAACAGAATCTGTGGCACGCTATTCGAACCACGCCCCATAAACAGACATCGGATTATGTCTGTAGACCAAACTTTGGTAGAATCTGGTGCCCCTGGTGCATATCTGCCAAAAGCCGTTGAAAACTAAACATCCATTAAGAATCCACTCCAGAATGGAAGATGCTCCCGCATCAACCATGGTCTGCACATCAAGATCTCTTACAAACGCCTATTGGAAAATCATCTGCTTCAAACAAACCCATCCGACTTAACCATGAACTTCACCGAGAGTCATCCCAGGACCCTTCGTCTGCCGTCTCTTGAGGTCTGTGACTGACATTTCAGACTCCACCGCAGTGCTGGTTCCATCGGTGTCAAATGCCCTTGAATTTCTCCCAGTGGCGTGACACCAACTCATCCACTGCCAAGACCTAGCGTCGCAGGGAAGAACAACCACCAGGAGGACCCTCCAAGGAAAGGTTCACGAAAAGGAACTGGTTAGGTGGTTTCAACTCGTTTCAACTCACTTAAAACATATTAATGACTATATTATAGGCGATAGGCGAAAAAGCATGGGTTCCGGGTCATTGCTTTCCCCGTCCAACATACTGGTTTTACCTGCCAATACCCGTTGTTGTTTCATTTGAGGTACGATCCTTTTAACATTAACAGTGTCGTTATTCCATCCTCCTCCAATGTGCAAGTCCCCTCAATGTTTTGGAGTCCACTATTGTTTCCGACCATCTGAATGTAACGTTCTTGTGCAAATGAAATTATCTCTATAATGTTCAAGATGCTTCATGCAGTTCACTTGAAGCCACGGATACATCAAATACAGAAAGGATTACTGTATGCCATTCACACACCAGGCTAAGGCTAGGATTGCACCAAAGTGCAAAGAACGTCAACACTTCAGTGGGCTTCTCAGTCACTCCCAAACCACAAGGTTTTCCCCCACACCTCAAGGACCCTGTAATACCAGGACCCTTTCTAGCGGGCTGTAGCGAGTGATAGATCAAGACCCCTAGGCAGCTACTTTGGGAAAATCCTTGGAATCCAAAGTCAGGCTGTCCTACAGATGGTGCAAAAATGCTCTTCACTCCTCCAAGTGCTTCCCCTCCTCCGATTCCCCCAGTTCCACGCCCTTGAACGTCCAGCTCCCTTGAACGTCCAGTCCGCCTCCTTTTTCCGTGGATCCTCTACCTAGAAGCTTTTAAGGGCCCAGACTCCCAGACCCCTACTATGATCTACTATGCAGAGGTCAACACCCTCCAGTTCGGAGGCTCCAAGGATGGTGAGGGAAACTCCTCGCCCATGTGCCCCTCAACTGCCATGCGAGAATTCGTGCGAGAACCTCGCCCGTCCGCCTTCGGCCGAACGCGCCTTGAGGTCAAACACGCCTTCCACCCGCCGAAAGAGCCGCTGGATCACGTGATCTCCCTCATCGGGCGATAACCTCGGATCGGTGGGTCGCTGGCGACCCTGGCGGAGGACTCTGGGAGGGCGACCGGGGATGGTTTGGGGTTTGGACCCAAAGTTGCCCAAAAAGCGCGACCGGGGACTCTGGATTGACTCAAGGTGGTTTGAGTGGTTTCGAAGTGACATGTCTTGGCCAAGCAGAATCGTGAAAGGAAGCTAAACTCCCTTCTTCGCATGTCTTTGCCAAGTTTCTCCTCATGAAACCAGGTAATACAGTAACACGAGCGCACCTTTTTGCCCTTGAAAACAGGGACACCCAAATCAAGCACCGAGCCCCTGCAAGAAATTCAGACACATCCCCCCTGACCAAGGGGGGCTGTCATGCCCTCACGATTGTACTGTGGGAAGGGAGCTTGTCATGCCCTCCGAACCCACCTGAAAGCCTTAAAATCCTTAAGACATATTAATAATTAGATAAAAAAATTGATAAAAGGGGTTTAGGGCCATATAAATGCCACAGGGATGAGACAGCTCAAAAAGAACCTCCAACAATCCCGGAGTTAAGCTTAACAACCAATGAATCAAGCAAGTCACCACTCAAGCCAAAGCTCTTCGGATTTCACAACATGGACCTACATTCACCCCCCCTAAATTAACCACCCCAATGCCAATGTATGTATATAAGTATTGCATACAAAGAGTGTGTGGGGACTGGTATAGGACAACGATGTTTGATTAAGAGAATTTAGGGGCAGCGTAGAGTGTCAAACAAGTGCTTGCCAACCTATGGCCCGCTTCTGAATAATCTCAATTCTCCCAACAATCAGTCCAACTTTTGGATGGCCCATGATCATTGAGATCTAGCGGACATGCAAAGTCTATAATAGATATCATAAATGATACATTGCGTAAATATGCAGAAATGTCATCCTACATCATCCAGGCTTCTTCAAACTAAGAAGGCACCAAGGATCCGGCAAAATCTGGCTGCGGCGCTTCTTACACGACTGGCTTCTCCAAAAAAACCATGTATGGTCCAGTGGCTGATTTCCTGATAAATCTACAGCACCATCTTTGTCGCCAAACACAGTTTGCTGTTCACCTGCGCAAGCCAGTCATCCCAGGCTTCCTTGCGCCCGCGTAAAGAAGACCACAGTGCCGCCCTCACGCAAAAGCCAAAGCCTGAGACCGGAAGATCACCATGGAGGAAGTGGCCTAGGAAAAGAGTGGGGTTCTAGCTTGTGACCTGGTGACTGGTTCTTCAACTCACAAATTTTGAAGAGGAGTCCCACTCAGACTGACGAAGAGCAAAACAACATGAACCGATGAACCGTTCCCTGTACAATTTGGCCCCATCTTCCTATTGGAACGTGTTGATACGAGGGTGTCGGAGGTTTCCCATGGTTGCTCAGGCTAAGAAGGTTCCAAACACCATTGACACCAAAACACAGGAGAACGTTGTACACTCTGTCTCACTCACATGGAAGTGGAGTTCACCCCTAGAGGACAGTCATAGGTCATAATTATTCCCAAAGGCCATGCAATCCATGTGATCTGTTCGTCAGAGGGTATAGTTGTCAAGTGGTTTTGCGGTCCTCGTCCTTATATTTACAGTTTTTGCTTAACAAAAATACAACATATTCCCCTACACCACCCACTCCCTTCCAAGACTGCTCGCCCCGAATTCGCTCAAACTCTCGCTGCTCTGTGGCGCGCTCTCGCTAGTCCCCCAGGCGCGTTGTGGAGCCATTTCAGTTGTCGCCTCGTTCGGATGCCCCAAATGTCGGACACAAACCTGAAAAACAATAGATGTAATCTTTTTGTGTTTAAACAATAACAAACGAATAGATAAACAACATAACATTTACTTTTATGATTTATGCATTAAAACAACACATAAAATTAATGTAACATATTGTATATATGATGTGGTGTGTTGTTCCTCGTCCTAATATCAAAACACCTTATACATTCTCATGCCACAAAGAGGAACTCTCATCGAACTTGCCTGCCGAGTTGTTATTTATGTTTCTTTGGGGGAATGTATCCGTTTGGAATGGTTTGAAAACAACAACAACAACAACAACAGCTACTACTACTGCTGCTGCTGCTGCTGCTACTACTACTACTACAACTGCTACAGCTACAGTTTTGGCGGGCCCAATTCGGTTGTTTCTACCCAATTTGGGCGTGAAAAACCATGCTTCACCCCTCCCTCCAACAAACATGGAAGCGGACAACCCCGCTGTTTTTAAAAAGATATTCCCAGAACCATTTTCGGGTATATATTTCTGATTGTATTGAGAATGTGCTCAGCAATCCACTTGACCACAGAATCTCAGAACCGAGATCAAGGCTCGCCGCTGACCTGCCAGACCGGGCTCGAGCGCACAGCGCACAGCTTCGGCAACACCGACGGTTTCCGTGGACCGCCATGTTTTTTTTTGGAGCACTCGAAGCGTTTCTATGTTTTTTGGAGTGGAGGTTCTTCATGGTTCCCCATGAATGACCTGGCTTGAGCCAGCAGCACAGGCTCATTTGGTCTGGGATACAGGGTCCTTGCATGGGGACCAATTGGGGGAACAAAAGTGGATCTCCCATGGCCCCTGGCAGAGACTGGCTCAAAACTGATCGCTGGTACGGAAAATGTATCGTTTCATATCGTTTCTAGCTTCACGGCCCTAAAGCCAAGCACCCACTTAAAATCAATGAACTTCAAGTCCCAAGAGCTCCACAGCACTGGCACAACGCAATGGGTGTGACCACCTGGATGAGCAAAACTAGAAGTACCGGCAGCTTTGATCTATTTGGAAGAATTTGCGGAACACCTGGAGCCACTGAAGCGACACCGTCAGTGGTTCTTCCGCTCTTCCCTCTCCCCAGACTAATTATATAACTGGTTCCACGTGTGTTTTCATTAACATCAACACACCCAGCCGGGCACCTTGGGCATGGAGGGTGACCATCTCGTAAGTCCTCCTGCAGCACCTCTCAGCAAAGCTTTGTCATCGGTGCCTGACATCCGCGCAGTTGTCCAGTGTCGACGCAGCGTCAGCTGAGATTCCAGAGTTTGGGAGGCCCAAGCTGCAGGTCAGCTTGACCTCATTTGACTCGAGTTGGTCTACAATCACTCTACTTTGAGTGATCCACACCATGACATGTCAATCACTTGTCTTCATCCCATGGTGAGGAGCATGTTGCCAGGGTCGTGAATTTTGTGGTTCTCGACTTTGTTTGTGGGACTCGGTTGTGTGCTGTGATTGTGGTTGTGTGCTGTGGTTGTGTGTTGTGGTTGTGTGCTGTGGTTGTGTGCTGTACGTGTGTCTTGGTGGTTGTGTGTTTGTGGCCGTGCTTGTGATTGGCTCGCGGTTCAGGACGACGCGGAGGACGAGAAGGACGAGGAAGAGCAGGAGGAGGAGGGCACGAGCTGACATAAATCTAACAACCCTCACCTGACAGTTGGGGAAAACACTACTCAATGAGGTAAAGTACCTGGCTTTACGGGGTCTTTGGACCTGAAGGACAAAAACATGTTGAACAAGCTTCGGCCCGGCAGGATTTGAGGCTTTGAAAACTTGGATTGGGACGCTGATTGATTGGGAGTCGATTGGCAGTGGATATTGAACCAGAAATACCACGTTGCCACTTACCACTCACGACCACAGTCAACCAACTCTGGATCCTTCGGCGTAAAAGTGGAACATCTTCGGGAGTTCGGTTCGGAACAAAGGTCTGAACTAACAGTTTCTATATAATATGTTTCTATATATACATGTTTCGTCATGTTTCTTCCCCACGCCCCACTAGGTCAAAGACCAGCTGCTAAGGCAAGTCAATGTCTTTGGGAGCTCAAGTGCCATAGTTCTTGGTGGTTTCAAGCGGTGGACGGCAATTTATCGGGATTCCAAGGACTAAAGTAAACTAATTAGTTGGATTAGCATGACGGACTGCACAGTAGTCGTACTTGTATTGATCGACCATGCCAGCAATTGATCCAATTGATCAACCGTTGGAATGGTTGGGGTGAGGGTCTTGTGATTAGGCCAAGTTGCAAAATCACTCACCTCAGCACCTCATGACTCATGTCCGTAGCAACCATATATATAATATATGTTGAACAATAGAATCGTTGTCAAACATGCGAACACAGAACACCTCAATGTTTGCAGGGCAGCTTAAGTGAAACAAGATTGCAAAGGGCCCATCAAGCTCTGAAAGCATCAACTGGCTATAGCAAGGCAAGGAACAAATGGCCCTGGCTGCTGGCACTAGTCTGTATAACACAAACTCCACAAAAATTACAAGCCACAGAGTGGCACGGAGTCGGGGTGGTGTTCCCCGACCTCAATAGTCCGACAGTCCAGAGCGGGGGCTGGGCCGCCGAGACAGGCTTTCAGGAAGCGGCTTAGAGTTGGAGTGGATCAACAACCGCATGCGGAGCTCAACTCCACAACGGACGGTGCAGATCGGATATCAGAAAAGCCCTGCAGCTCGGCCATGCTTGGCGTCCGCACACGGAGGGCCAAGCAAGATCTTGTCGTAGGGGCCAAGCCTTGCCGCGCCGTGACTTTGTGCCAAGCCGTCTTCGAACGTGACTTGTGATTTCTCTGCACAACATAGAACTCACACAAGACGTTACTGTGAGCGCCGCCCGGCCAAGCACAAAAAAGAACGCAAGAAGATATGCAAGAAGCTTGTACGTAGGAGCTCTGAAGGGGTCCATCCAACTCAAGAGCTCTGAAGAGATCCATCCAGCCTCTCTGCTGCATTGGATGGCGTCGCCATGTCCACTGAAGTGAACACCTCTAGGGTCGACAGTCGACCGCTGTGTGTGTTTTTTTCCCGTACCGAATGGCCGACTGCCAAACCCAGGGACATGATCCACCAAATGGTCCTAAAACCGCGACGAGCAACATTGAGCACCGTGATGTGTGACATGCCCTGGGACCGGCTGAGACGCTTAGTTCGCTTCAACAGCGGTGGAGCCTTTGAGGGGTCCCTTTGGGCGCCTTCCAATGCTGGATTGCTGACCCCCGAGCCGTTTCCCATCAAAATCAAAGGTGAACTGAACTTTTCACCTGTTGGATTCAAGTGGGATGTCTCCAAAGCCCCCGAAAAGATGACCTGGAGGTGATCCACTTTGTCCTAACTAACGTTTTTCTAGCGACACCACGGCGTCCGCCTCGAAAGAAAAGGAGCCAATGATCCGAGCCCCAGCAGCAAATGTGTAGAGTATGGTGTTGGTGGGTGATTGATTGTGATTCACAGCTGATTTGGCGTCGATGGGTCCACCCAAGCGGCGGTCCCTTTACTCGGAGGTTCCGCACCACGCGAGGACCGTGGCCCGCCAAACTGGCCTCAAAAGGGGGCGCGGCGTGCGTTTCAAGCCTCCTGGAGACATTGGATGAATCATTCCATTATTTCAGGTAACGGGGACACTGACATGAAAGAAATTAGACCTAGAATGAAGTGTCTTCACCAAATAATGTCCTAGTTTGATTGACTTGAACTGAAGGGATCCCAGTTGGAATATATAGACTCTAGACCATTGCAAACCCAGGTGCTAAGGCATTGTACTAAATACTTCAGGGTTTCCGGGCAGCTGTTGCATAGCACGACAAAGTGCCTCGTGGCCTGTGTAGGTCCAATATGGTCCCATCACCCATCCTACATCGCAAACAGTTTTATTTCCTTTGGGCTGCTTTGGATAGGATTTCGCTATGGCCACGCCGGCCACGCATCAAAATCCAAACCTTAAATTCTCATGCTTTTGGGCACCCTTCGACTGTTTCACCCAGTAGTGGATGATGATGGTTGCTAAATGCCAACACTCAAACAGCGGCAAATTATGCAAATGATGCTAATTAATGTCACCATAGACTCTAAACTTTGTGAGCAGCGCAGGAACACATTCCATGTCCCATGTTATCATCAACTTCTTCTGGGGAACACATTCCAGCACCGACAGGAACAGCCGGAGAAGTGTTTTGACAAACGGTCTTCGGTCAGCCCGGAGTCTGTATTTCATTGGATCCTCCCAGGTTCCGAACCTGTGGATCCAAAAGCCGCCATGGAAGCAGGGACTGCCTCAGGCTGTTGCACTGCGCACTGCACAGCGCGCTGCGCTACAGCAGGCGTGAAACGCGAGTGTTTTGAAATATTTCCTCTCTTTTTTGTTAGGGGTGTGTTCATGTTTCTTTCCATGCGTGTCAACCGCCAAATCTCCAAACTGTTGCATGCCTCAAGAATCTTATCCCTGCAGGTCAGTTTAACCTCATTTGACTGGAGTTGATCATACAAAAACACTACTCAAAGAGGTAAAGGACCAGTGTTTTTAAATTGGGTCTTGGGGCCTGTAGGGTATTACTTATTACATAATCTATTTTTGAACTTGAGAAAGCTCTCGAAAGAAGGTGAACTCCTTCATACAGTTTGAAAGCCAAGGGCCAAAAAGTCCTATCATCCTGTTTGCCAGCAACATGCCCATTTGGTTCGAACACCTATCGACTGAGAACTGAAATCTAGGAGCTGCTTAGAAGATACTAAGATTCTTTGGCAATGCGTTTCAATCTTTGTCCAGCAAATATCTTTGGTCCCACTACCAGCTTTGGCATGGTCGGATCCTCTTGGTGTTTCTCATGAGTTTCTGGACCCTACTAGACGCCCCAGCACTGTGAAAGAAAGAGGTGTTTTCTGCCATAGATTGTTTGACCTGCGAAGACCCGTTGGTTTTCATGCGTTTGCTCTCGAGCTTTGAGAACCCCAGGGCCCCAGCAGCGTCTGCTGCAAATGGCTGGCTTTCGCTTTCACCATCTGACAGCCAAGAGGTTAAAAAGGAAACGAAATGGGAGATTCGGCCATTGAATGAAGTCAAAACCTTAAGTTCCCTTAAACATCTATATATAGAAACCAAATCATTAGTACGAGCGCTTCTTCAAGGAAGGGGGAGCTTCCTCGAAGAAGTGCGAGCTATCCTGCGTCCATATGTATAGTAGCGTCCTGTACCTACTAGCTAGCTACCTCAATTCCTGACTTAATTAAGTAGGTGCCTACGGGAGAGGGCCAAAAACCGATTCATCATCGTAACATATCGGAACCGTATAGGTGAAACATGGTGAAACATCTCCACATTCACAGTGTTCATTGTGAGGAATCGTCAGGGCTGTACTGGGAGACTTGACTGGGATGTTCCAGGTAGACTGGCCAACTGGTCCAAGATGTTGACCCGACATGGCCACACTGAAGAACGACGTGACAAGCCTGTTCGAAGCGTTTACTGCTTTTTTTGGGGGGTACCTGCATAGACGGATCGTGGATAACACGCAACCCTCTTGAACAAAATGGTGGTTGTTCAGTACATGCAGAAAATCAACAAATGCCGTGCACAGGTGTGGGAAGCCTGCAGCGATTCAAACCCAAGACGACCATGGTAGACCTGGCATTGAAGTTGCCCAGGCGTTTCTTTTTAAAGTTGTTGTCTTCCTCTTCTGCCAAAATAGTCAGAACATCTATTAGTCATCTGGTCGGTAACGATGACTTCCATGTTTTGCGGCCCTGGCTGCGGAATACAGTAACTCCTTGGGGTTGGGGGATGCTTGGATGCACCTTAAAGCCTCATAGCTATGACTCTCGAAGCAGCTAGCTAACTGACCCCGTCAGTTTCCCTCAAACATAGAGGTCAACCTTTTTGCACCTGTTGCACCATCCGAGCAATCTACACTTGAGATTGCAGACCCTGAACACTCTGGATCAAGGATCATTTGAGTGGAGTGTCCACCTAATCCTCCCCACAAGAAGTTGCCCTGCAGGTGATCGGAGCGGCAGCTCCACTTCGGGCAGCTCCAGCTCTGCGTTCTCTCGATGCCCGAGCGCTCCCACCGAGCCACCCCGCTTCGTTGCAGACCAGGCGGCCTTGCAAATCCTGGGGCCTGCAAAACATTGCAGCGAACCGTTTTCTGCAATGTCTGGGCGCCTAAAATCTGAACAAAAACAACTCATCAATGTGGCAGCATCCACGTTAAGTCTAGGCTGCGCAGTTGCTGCAGGGATCGAAAGATCGCAGGGATCGAAAGATCTTTCGATCCCCCTATATTCCTCTAAAGTTGCGAAGCCAACTGAAGCTCTGGCATTGGTGTGGTCTAGTTCGAGCAATCATGAGCAGATTTGACTGAGCTCTCGGCAATGCTTGTCCGCGTTGGCAACGCTGGAAGATGGCACCGGCCAGGACCAGCCTCGGCCGCTGGTCCAAGCTGCTCGGTGGTTCCAGACTGTTTTTGTTCAGGCCCAGTAACCCAGTTGCATCGCAGCTGAATTGGACAACTGGGTGCATCATTTACCCTTCAAGTATCGTTTAACACGCTGTCATGGGTTGATTGTTGATTCCCATGGATGAATGGAACCACTCTGACACTGGCTCCGCCACATGTCCGGGTGTGCCTGTCTGCCAAACAACGATCCCTTTCCCAATCCCACCATGTTTGGGCTGATGGTTCTTCTGGCTTTCTTAAGGAAGTTGCTCCTCCTATCTGTGCCTGGAACCTTGATCAACGACTCGAGGTGGCACCAAGATGCCAAGACTGACAGGATGTCTCACTCAAAAACGCTATCCTGGATCCTTTCTGCCGCTGGCACCTATGGAAATGTCATGAAATGTCGAGTATTTTCTGTGGGGAGGGGCCCGCACTTTTGTACTACTATGGTATAGAAGGATTATAAACTCTCTTTCTGGTCTTCCCTGAGGAAAAGTTTCTCCGATTGCAGGCCCTGGACCCTTTTTGGGAAAGCCATCACAATACCATCACACCCCAAAAAGGTAGCCAATTTACTGCCCCCATCCTGGAAGTGGCCCACCACATCCCACCACATCCTGGAAGTGGCCCATCCTGGAAGTGGCATGATGTGGCAGTTTCTGCCCACCACATCCCACCTCCACCGACGTCACTGCACCATCTTCACCCAGCTGCGAGGTCACCCCGGTCGCACAGGCGTCCAGGACACTGTCGCCTTCCTACGGCGTTGCGGATTTGCCCCGGTGAAAACGAGCAGGATGGGTCCGACTTCACTCCAGGGTGGGAGAATGTCCGGAGAATGTCCAAATGCTTTTCAGGATGTTTTTCGAACGATTCACCTCTTAGTTTAGTGATGTGTCATGAAGTGTCCCCCAAAGGTGATCCACTTGTCCTGGATGCCAATTCTCACCACTTCCGCCGTGTTCCGGTGCGTTCGCCCCCGCCCAACGCCGTGCAGATTTCACCTCCACCTGCAAGGCTGAAGCCACCACCAGCGAAGAGCCCTGCGAATCGAATCGAGCTCTTGTCTGGGAAAAAGTGGCAAATCAGTGAACCCCAGGATGACGAAGTGGCCGTCTTATCTGTCTTCGGCTTTACAAAATCACATGAGAACAAAGTGAAGACAAGGTTTGAGGATGTTTAAGGTGAACGGGTGCCCTGGTTGCTCTTCCCATATATATGTTTTTTGGACAGGTGCACAAAACGATCCCTGGTGTCGGTGTTACTTTCGGTTGACCTATATACTTCTGAATCTGACGCCTTGAGCTCAGCCCAGGTTCCAGGATACAGGTTGTGGTCTTGAAAGAAGGGTCCAGGTGAGTCTGGGCTGCACTTGTCGTGTTTCTTGCCTTTTTCAGGGTTTAGAGATCATAAGTGTCTCCACCCAAATCCAAACATTGGAACTGAAAGTCTTTCCTGAAAAGTCTGATACGTAGGGTCAGAGGCAGCAAATCACTCCTGAAAAACCGTTCCCATCCGACCACAAAACGGTCATAAAATTGTCCTGCCTCAGCCAATGTGAAGGGTGCCAGCTCTTCACCCGGACCCCGGAGCTCCAACTGGCCCGCAGAAATGGGGAGAGCCAAGCTTCCAGGCTTCGATTTTGCCGGTTCTGGAAGGACATAGGTGGATGTGTTGTTCCCAGCAAATGACTTTCCTGGTGGATCGTCACATATACGTGCGTTGAATAAGTCTATCAGTCTAACTCTTTTGTTTCTCATTTGCAGGTAAGGCTTTTGAGTTGTCGTTCTCTTGTAGTAGAACGTCACAGCAGCAGAACTGCCAGTTCGTTGGCTCCAGCAACTCTTTGTGATTGTCATTGATTTTCTGTGGCATGGACAGAAAAGAGCTCCATGTCCATGTGCGTATGAAAACTGTTCCTACATCGGGGCGATTGCTGGGGTAAGGCAAAAAGAATACATGGCGTGTCTGGGACACACACACGTGATCTAATCTCACCATGAACCACCAAAGACCTACAGTATGCATCGTCGATCTTTCAGGATGGTAGAACCATGTAGAACCCTCCGGTCGACCAGTTTCGATGGGGTCTCGGGGCCAATCGCCTCCGATTTTTACTCACAACACCATGGAGCGTTGCCAGTGCTTCAACCGAGCTGGGTCCCTTTCACGCCGTCTGGCCATACTACATGGAGAATCCCGTCTGGGGTTGGTCTCGGACTTCATGTTGATCAGTGATACCATGAATGGTCAAAGGAACTGTTCCCGATGTCGCACAAAGCACTTTGGAGTTTGAGCAACTATATTACGACATTTTACATCATATTACTAATTATTAGGTGACGCCTATGTGTCCTAGTGACCCTGCAACGAAAACCTGCCGAAACGGCTTTGGTCGTGAAAATTGTTGCTCTTCCAAATAAGGTCTCTTCAGTCTCCGGTCTGGGGGTCTCCCATGGTCTCCTTATTCTGATACATGGGCGGAGGCCATTGCTACTAGGTTGGAGGCCATCGCTACGAACGGCATAATTGACACATTCCATACCGATGTTCCATCCACTTCGTCGATCGCTCCGGGAGAGAAGCCGCCCCCGGGAAGGAAGCCGCGCCTCATGCCGCTCCTCACCTCGGTCGACAGAGATCCCATGTGAACCGACGATCCCGAAATCGAAATAACCAACTCCCTACAGGTCCTGTCTGACGCAAAACCTAGCACAGCAGTGTTCTTTTTTATGACCAACTCCAGTAAAATGAGGTCTTTCATCCGTAGGGAAGCATTCAAGCAAGTCTTTCAAGCTCTCAACAGGCTGTGCTAGGCTGTGCCTCCGCGATCTATCACCAAGGAAGTGCAGCTGCGCAAAGTAACATGCTTTGTCAAACCAGCAAGCAGCTGGCTACGGTCCACAGCACGGTTTGGCTTGTTTAAGCAGCATCGAACCACCTTTATCAACACTACTGCTACTACACTTCCTTGCAACTGTTTTGCGCATGACTGCAGCAAACTTAGCAAACTGATGCCTTCTTCAGGGTGTGGGAGGCTCAACTGTGGGGGGGGGAACTCGTGCGACCACACAGGAGTAGAAGAACCACTGAACCACATCCCAGTAAATTGATATGGTCGGACATCAACGGAACTATAGAATTAGCCCGGCCCTGCATAGGCTTAGGGCACCTGCCAAAACCTAGTGAAAAGGTCTGCCTGCTTCACAAAAAGACTCACTGAGCCAAAGAGTTGTCCCTGAAAATACAACTGGGGCAACTGAACGGTTTCCATTGCTTTCATTGAACAAAAAGAATCCACCATCTTCGATCTCCATGATTCATCTCGCCATTTTTGGCTGACCTTTTCAGGATGCTAACATAGGCCTGTGAATCAAGGGTTCAACCTACCCCGAAAACACCGCGAACCATGAAAGGAACAAATAATTTTGAATGTTGTTTAAGAGTTCAAGATATTTCAAGATCAAACCTGCAAATGTCCTTCTGCAATCTCCTGGACAAGTCTTACGCTCCCATCATCAAATGGCCCTTGGAAAATGTACCAAATGGCCCACCCCACATTGTCCAGTTCGGGAGCCCCGGCGATACAGATGGACGAATAAGTGCCGTTCATCGCTGGCGTCCACAATGGGGAACCTCTGACGGGACAAAAACGAAGCGTTTCCCGACGCATTGATTTAAGCAACAATGGTTCCTGTTCCTCTGCAACAATAGTTATCGGACATGTAGGAGTAGTAGTAGGAGTGGTACTGGTGAAGGTAGAAGTAGAAGCAAGCAGCAGCAGCAGCAGCAGCAGCAGCAGCTGCTCCTGCTGCTGCTACTGCTGCAGGAGTGATAGGAGTAGGAGTAGTAGAAGTAGTAGTAGCAGTAGCAGTAGCAGTAGCAGCAGTAGTAGCAGTAGTAGTAGTAGTATTATAGCGTAGTATAGTAGTAGTATTATAGTAGTAGAGTAGTAGGAGTAGGAGTAGGAGGAGTAGGAGGAGTAGTAGTAGTAGTAGCAGGAGTAGTTGTAGTAGTAGCAGGAGTAGCAGGAGTAGCAGGAGTAGTCGTACTAGTTGTTGTTATTATTTATTTGTGCTTGCTTGGCGTTTAGTTTGTCCGTGTTGTTGTGTAAAATAGTCTTACCATTCCATGTTGTAACTAGTTGACTGCTTTGCTGCGCCAGAACAACATCCAATAAAAACCCTCCAGTGGAGCTGCCTGCTTTGAGCAACTTGGTCTGAGCAATTTGGTGGCTTTGTGTGTGTGCGTGTGCGTTGCTTTTACAGGGGGTATGGCCAAGACTTCAGTCCAATTTTTAACACGGCGCTGGGACGATAGCTTTGGCAGCTTTGATGTCTTAGGGAAAGTATTTGCACTAACAACTACAAACGTACCCAGCTTCAGGTCATCACGTTTGACAATTGCACGCACGGGGAGACTACAAGTGCACGCACTTCTGGACACCGTTCTCACAGCTATCTCCGCTTGGCTCGGCAGCTCCATCCCCAAACATCGACCGTCGGAATCGGCCAGGCGCCTTCGCGGCACATCGCTGGGGAGTTCGAAGTGGAAGGCACCAGGGATGCAGGTCACTTCAAGGTCTTGGTTTCAGCGAGATCGACGCCAGACGGGAGGAGGAGAGGAGAATAGGAGGTGAAGATACCACTGCATGAGGAATTGATGCTATGATGTGTTGGTCTTTTTCAAGGAGCCCTGAGATTGGTGTAGAAGGAGGCCAAGAAAACGTGAACAGGACTCAGGACACCACGAAAAGTATTGATGAAACAGTTCTCCCCAGCCTGGAATCACACGGCCTGGAATCCACTACAGAAAAGCCGCGAAGCAAATCGCATGCCTCCATCGACTAGCTCGGAGTTGCAACATGTTGCAACTACACAGTAGGAACATGAATACATTGAAACACCAACTTTGCCCCCACCAGTCGGTCGGATAACAAATCAACAAACCGAGATGATCCCTTCCAATGGATCGATATGGATCTTTATGGATCGATGGATCCGAGGGATCATCCAAGATCCTTGGAGTGGGAGGCAACAGGAGTGAAGTGGGAGGGTCAGCCCCTTCGTGGAAGAAAAAGAGTGGCAGCAAATCTGTCCGGCTTTTGTACAGTCAAAGTCTTACCATCTTGTCTCTTAATAGTCCAGTTTTCTGAATAGTACAAGGATGCCCCACACAAAACTGGTGCCCGCGCCGGTCGCTTCGCAAGGGATCGTGGGAGGGTGTGAGTGTGGGGATGTGCAGGCTCACGTGGGGTTGACATTTCTTTGTTGGCGCCAAATACAAGGGGAACTCCATGAAATCATGTGGTTTGGAACCGAGAAAGAACAAAAAAAACACATGTCACATGTGCCAGCCGGCTGGATTGAGCACCGCATCTCAGCACCTCACTGTAGTCTCGAGAGATGACTTCTTGTTCATCTGCAGGCAGAAAGGGGTTCAAGAAGCAGAGGTGCTCGCTGTCCTCGGCCCATCATGGCCCTTCCTTCAAGCCCATTGATCAAGCGAGGAATGAAGGTGCAGCGGTGGTGAAACGGTGGAAACATGCTGGGTAGGATAAACACTATGTCAGTATATGTATGTATATGTCAGTCATACCTCCCCAAAACTTTGAAGGTGAGGAGGGGTGGTAAAGAAAGCGAGCGAGGAGACATGATCACAAACCCAGATAGCCCAAGCGTTGCAAAGAACACCTGCCAGATTGGACGCTGGTGCCCTCACCCTCAGGGCCGCCTATGTCTTCTTGAGAGGAACTTGTTTTAATTTGTGAAATCCTGCTCTTTTCAAGTCCGACCCCAGATTAAGTTAGCTTGGACATGGTATCGAGAGCATAACACCTTGGAAAACGGTCTTTCTACTGACTGGACTGATGAAAAAATGGGCCGATGGTTTTTGGCCCGCGAGTCGTCTAAAGTCATCGAGTCATTAATCATCCATGCCAGTTTGCGCAAGGATGAAGCTGATGTCGATAAAACATGCAGCTATGTGTCAGAGTGAACTGTTCGTTTTGTTGTGGCAATATGTGGCAATCATCTACACGCCCTGAAATAATCATGGAAGTGGATGACGTGGCTGCTTGGAGTACCACTTTCCACCATCCACTTCCATGATAATTTATGATAATTTAAGGGGTGTTGCTGCCAGTGTTTTCCACCTTGCATGACTGGATCTGCAGACCAAAGGTGCGTCATGCTGCGCTGCCAAGCTGCTTTCCATCTGCAAAACATCATTTGTGGGCTCCGTTGATGCCACAAAACATACCAAGACCACCAAAAATGCAGTGGTTCACCAAGAACCTGATAGAACTTGGACTTTGCAGCCATTTGCAGCCAATCAGTGCCCTGCGACATCAGAGACAGGAACGAAACAAAACATGTCCTAGAACATGTCCTCGACACCGTCAAACAAAGGCAAAACACATCTCCCACTTGAATCTCGAACTACCGAAGAACCGTTGTTGAATCCGACGGTTCGACCCTGAGTCCTGCAGGGATTCGGGATGGCTGGAGGTTTGGAAAACCGACCGCGGGTGCAAAATCCATGCCCAAACAATCCATGCATGAAATGGACTAGCTGCATACTATATACAGTAATTGGGGTGGTTTAAAGATGTTTTAAGAGTCAATGTAGGTCAGTACTCCAATCTATTCCAATCCCATGGAGTGTCTGGGGATCCTTTCACCATGGAGTGTGGAGGCACTTCACCATGTGTCTTCACCCCCAAAACCCATGGAGCGCTCCAAAGCGGGTCGCTATTCAACTGCACCGAGCGATTCGACAGCTGGGTCAGCGTGTTACACGTTGAACTGATCTTTAGATTTGTCCAGGAACTGGGAAACACTATAGGACATGTTCCCATGTTAAGCAAAACCAGGGATCGGAGCCCAAACATACATGGAAAAAGAACGAACAACAAGTACCAAAAGAAACAACATCTTTGTGGTGTTCTCAGCATCTCTTCCACCGAAACACCGAAAGACTTCGTTCTCTCTCCCCAAAACCCACCAGGCCCCGGCCAATCCAGTTCGCGTTCGTTCGCTCTGGGATCCCCCGGACCCGTTCCAGCGCTGGGAGCAGCTCGGAACTCCAACGCTCCTCTCCAAAGCGCCCCTCATGAAGGGCATGCCAACCTGACGACCAACTCGGTCGACTCGTCCCTCACGCGACACCGGCCACTCGGTCGGGTGATTTCTCACCAGCTCCGCACGGATTGGTCAGGAAGTCTCGGTCGAGCTTGGCTGGCTGGGTTGAGGTCGAGCTTGGCAAAGGGTGAGAAAAAGGTGTTTCACCCAGAAGCCGCCTGAGTACCTGAACCGCCCCTCCGAATGAAACCACTGGCCTATCATGTAACTGTACGATATAATGTTATTATTAGTGTATATTGTTTGATAAAACAAATTAAGAATACGCATGAATACGCGCTATATATAATGATAATGTTCCAAACCTACAGTTCTGACGCCATACAGTAGGTTTCGGTTTTGGTCACACTTGAAGTCCTGCCCCGGTCTTTGTCTGGTCCTGCCATTTAAATTTAGGTATGGTGGTCTCTCTGTTCCAGGATGCCAGTGATAAGTGATAACAGTATATAGTAGTACTAGTGATTAAGTAGGAAAACAGGGTGTTCATGCTGTTCATTTCTGAGACGTCCCTGTTGGTGCCACCATTTGTCCTGCCACCCAGTTGCCCCCCTGCTGTTGGCGCCATGACTCAAGGAACATCAGGAATGATGTGTCTGTTGGGGCATAAATTGAGGAGGCTAATGTTAATGTAGCTTCAAATCATGCAATCCATTGGACATCCATTGTTGAAAAACATGCTGGGTTCGTCTAACCCATGTGTTCCATCCGATTTACCTGTTGGGAACGTCAATCTGGAGTCTTTGGATTCTATGTTGCGGACACCTGAAAGCAGTTCCGAGGACAGAAGTTCATCTTCTCATTGGTCGTGAATCACCAAGCATTTGATTCTGATTCTTATCTGAAGCCAAATGGAAGAGAAGCTCCAACGGCGACGCACTGTCTAAAGAAGGCTCGCCTGATTGAGGTTTTCAGACATGAGGCTCACAGCTTCCAGCAGAATCACTTTTAGACTGAAGTGCTTCAACGATCGTCAAATTTTTCTCAAAAACCAAAGTCTCAAATCATGGGAGCAATATTTGTGGATAGCTCTTGCACAACGCAAGAGGAAGCAAAAGGATTGAACAAATGAAACAAACTAGTGAAACTAGTGAACATGATGGGCCTGTACTAATAGGATCTAATAGGATGATCCCCATCCAATCGGTTTTGGTTTATGTCCTTCCAGGACTGCTTTGAGGGGGCTGTGACCTGGGAGGTCTCCTAGTTGAGCTACACACAAAATCTTAGCAAAGCATCACCAGCTCGTTCTTGGATCCTACAGACCTTGAGCATGTCCAATTTCAGACGTTTCAGGCCAGAACAAAGAAGAAGCACCAATATATCATGAACTATATACACAGTAGTCCGTACATGTTAATGGGACAACTCCATCTTTTTGGGCAACTCCGCTTTTGGTCGCTGGATGTTGACGGTTGGACGCTTTCTAGGCACTCCCAGCGTCCACGGGAGATGTGGCGAATTCATCAGCCTGGTACACCTTTGCTGAGGCCACGATCTTCTCCAGTGTTGAAATCATGCATATTGTTATATACATATGTGTTTTATTTGTCTTTCAAGTGTTGTTTTTTTTCTAGCCTGGCTTGTGGAATCTCGACTTTCAGTAGCTGGAAACCAACTAAAACCGTGTCAAACATATCACAGGCCAAGATTAAAGGACACATAGGCTGACATGGCCTGACAGTGAGGGAATTAGTATGTCTATCATTTTGCATGAAGGAAACATGTTCTACATGTTTGTTTTCATAATGTTTGGTGACAAAACTCCCGATCTTGGGAGGTGTGAAGAAGATCAATGACCTCAAAACGGTTTCTGGGCAGCATCTTTGTTCTGCCTCAAACATGCAGCCTTTACACATGCATGGCCCCCATGGATCATTTGGCCAGGCGATCTCCAAATACACGTTGGTGTTGCAGCTTTTGCACACCATGTCCTTTGAAAATTAGCTCTGCAAACCGCAGGAGGAAGAACAATTCATTATTGACTGTTGATCTGCTTTGTTTCTGTCCGGCTCATGACTCACTTCAGAACCCAATGTTTGTCCAAAGAGAAAGAATCAGGTCCGCTGATAAGTCAAAAGGAAACTGTTCAAAGAGCTCTCAAACTCTTCGAAAGTGTCAAGCACTGTAGTGCCAAGTTCTATGACTCTTCGAGCCGCTTTGCACCACAAAACACTTCTTTGCACCTACATTGTACATGGCCCGCTTGTTGGCCTGCAGCTTTACAACAAAAGTGCACCCAGGTGCGGCTTGAGGATCGTCAAAGTCAAAGAACAGGATCGAAAACCCGAAAACCCTCTGGTGCATCTCACTTGAGCAAGGATCCCTGCAAACCTCAAACAATCTCTCATGACTCCTGACCATCATTTTGGGTGGTACTACCACGCCGCTGTTGAGTTTGTGATCAAACTGAGGACCTGCTGGAAAGGACCTTTTGTTCTCCACATCTCTTCCACAACATCTAGCTGTTGGTCATTGGACCGAAGAAAGCCCCAGCAAAACACCACCTTTAGAAGCGATCCTCAAAACAGGTGATATAAAGGTTATCCACTGACTGGGTCCACGATCCGCTTGAAGGACAGTGGTTTGGCTATGAGATTCAACCAGTATATCGTGGGCACCCATTCACTGAGGGGCACTCTGACCGTAAAGAACAGATCAAAAGCGTCCCACGACAACATGCCGACATGGAACTCCTGGCCAAAGAATGTCACATATGGCATGATGTTGAATTACGCAATTCATCACAATTCCATGACGATCCAGCTCCCTGAGTTCTCTGTTCTCCTCTCTTCGACTCCAAAAGGCCTCTCACAGGATATCAGTGTCAGAGTCGAAGCTGTGGTCCATGCTATTCGACTCGCTGGAAGATGGCAGGTACGATGACGTCTTCGACTGTTTTCTCCTTCGCTCGCCGTGGGATTGCTCTCGCCAACGGTGGGCGCTCCGCGCCGGCGGGTGTTGGGAACCGATCCTATGGGTTCAAACGACAGCTGAGATGTGGAGAACAAAACCTGAGATAAGACGTGTGGTGCAACTGCATGGACAATCCATGGACGTCCATGTTTTGTTCATGTTGTTTGTATCCATCCAGGAAATAACGGAAGACACGATCGCTAAACAGTATACGTATGAGAGAAGCCTATGGATAAAACCTCTCTATATATATTGTACATTTATAGTGGGTTGAGAGTAAATGGCACAATCCCCAAGAGGAGGTTTATATGGACCCCACTAGAAAAGACATATTGAAGGTTGTGCGATCTACTCTGAAACCACTGCAGAAGAGTGTTGGATAACTGGGGGACGTCTTGGAAGTGATGCCCAGGATCTTACACTACCTGAAATCATCGTGGAAGTGGATTTCACCAAGGAAAATGGACAATTATCCACTTCCACTTCCATGATAATGATTAATTGTTTCAGAAGTGATCCCTGAACTCAAAGATGCTTCACCACCTGGGAATTGTAATGATTCCGCTTTTCAACCCTTTTTTCCAATGTCTCTGCTGGCTCCACTCGGATGTCATACCATTCTGCCACGAAAGAGGCTTCTCAAAAACGCTCTTTGGATGTCCGCCCATCGATCCTTTCAGGACCGGCCTTGTTTTACACATGACTCATGACTCAGGGATACTCAGGGCATGTGTTCAGGTGTGGAATGTCCCATCCATGTCGGTGTAAACATTCCCCAAGTGTCCCATCCATCAAAGTGGACGTGACGCGTCGAAGTCGGCACAAGACCTCGTCCTCGGTGGATGCAAACCCGGTGGCACGACGACATCGACTGGTGGACACGGAATGCATAGATGACCGCCAAGCCGAAACACAAGGGATCGGCGGTCCGGTCGGTGACGGTACAAAATGGTAGTGATGTGGGAAACCGAGCAAAACAAGCCATATAGATCCATATAACATCATGTAACTACCATTAACTACCATTTTCTCGTAGAACATGGAGAACATGCAAAACACGCTGGCAAATTTCTTGTTCTTCCATGCTCTCTCTCTCTCTCTCAGAAAGACTCTCAGTCGCGTACGATCTTCGACACGCCTTGGCTGCTTCCGGAATATCTGGACCTTACTGGAACGATGAACTGGCCAGTGTCACCTGCTTGGCGTTTCTGCACACGCCGTGCGATCCTCAGCTGTTTTCATCAACGGTTACCGGCTGGAACATCTGTGGTATGCCATTTCATTGGGGGCTTGGT